ATATATATATATATATATATATATATATATATATATTATATGATAACAGTTTAATTAAGGTGAAAAAACAGGATATAGTTATAAAATAAGGATCTAGCCGATTCAATAGACTTGATAAATAAAATATATATGCCAGTTGAATGAAAAATCAAGGCCAAGGAGTCTGATCTAGTTGGTTAATTCCGCAAACTCTTTCATAATACAACTCTTTCGACACCTATATTTATCCTAAACAACCGTTCCTAATTTTAATTATGTTGGCCCCTAATTAATTATCCTCCTGATTTTAAATATCATTCTAGTATCGAGTATCGTGTCTCGAGTAGAGTTTTGCGTTGAGAAAAAAAAATTACATAATCCTGTTACGTGGTAAAGGTTTCGAGGTAAAAGATTCGTTAAAATTAAAATCGAATTAGCAACGCTAATACCCCCCATACCAGATCAAAATATCAAATTACAAATTAGATTACTAAATAAATAAATTAATTAATTAATTAAAAAATATAATACTTTTAAATTAATCATCAGGACAAAAAAATTGTCTACATAACTTTCTTCAGCGCGTGTCTGTAAATCGCAAAAGTATGTAAATAAATAAATATATTACAATAATTATTAATTTTTAATTGATTAGTAAAATACAAATAAATAATTTTCTTTTCAGACTAAATAAATGACAGTAGATCTGTTAAAAATGAGGTCGAGCTTGATGCTCCAGAAATTAAAGCATATGCGTTTAACGTAAAAGGATAAATAAAACAAAAGATCGAAAAGTGTACCAGCCACGCGCGACTACCGACCAGTGACCAGTGACCAGTGACCAGCGACCAGCTACCAAAACCAAAATAATGTATATGAAAGGATCAAGGATCTACGTTTAAAGATGTGTATACATGTTTATAAATAAATATATATAATTTACCGATAAAAATTTATGAAAACAAAAGGAAAGTACCGCTATTCTTAGTCAGAATTTAAGCTTGTCCTGATGCCTGTCCTGGACCGAGTAGACATTCAGCCACTTGGTGCCTGTCGAGACTCAAGGCTCAAAGAAGATCAATATCATCATATCAAGTGTTGGAGAACTTTTTACATTGCTAATTTATTTTTTTTTAACCGAAAAAATTCCAAAATAATATTCGTTTGAGTAAATCCAAACTAGCTATCTATTTTTTTTTTTCTTTTTTAATAAATTGTTTAATTAATGCTCGAGTTTTTAGTAAAATTTTTTGAAAAAGCTTACTAAAAAAATTTTTTTATTTTTCAAATATTTAGATACCGATTATCTGTTCTACTTTTCAATTTGTTTACAAACAACTCAGACGTATAAATTGTGTGAATGTGTCATGTGAAAGTATTACTTGTTTGCTTGTAAAATAAAATACTTATTAAATATAACCTACCATCCTAGATTTAAAATTAATTGGTGTGATTATAATAATCTTAATAAAAAATAAAAGTTTATTAATTTTTTTCAGGAATATATTAAAAAAAAATTCAATTTTTAATTCAATGCGAAATAAAATATTTTCAACTTATGTTAATTTTTAGGTGAATTATATCCTTATATTATAATAGAAATTATATTAAGTCAATAATAATAATAATAATAATGATGATGATGATGATGATGATACAAAAGTTGGCTTTAAATAAATTCGATCGACAAAAATGAATTTGCATTTAAGCGAGCCGTATAGTAGTGACCGTGACCTCCAGATTTGTCTCATAAATGAAGTTTAATATTTTACAAGAATATTTACCCGGAAGAGCATCTCTAAATTTTATTATTTAAACTTGCCATCTATTTTATAATATAATAAAAAATAAAAAATAAAAAAAGCTGATATAATAAAGAACAGGCATTATACAAATATACAAATAAAAAAATTTAAAAGATACGATAATTTGTAATGCATTATGTAATTGAAGACGCATTGGATAGTCTATAGATTGCGAATGCTGAAACTGAAGGATAAAAAAAAAAGAAAAAAATTTTAAGAGACTTGAGACTGCTTTTTGAATAGCAAATTCAGCGTAGGTGCCCTCCAACAGAGAATTAATCATTATTTTTATTTTTTTTTTCTTCTTCTTCTTCTTCTTCTTCTTCTTCTTCTTTTCCTTTTTTATTGTATCTTTGTATGTCTTTTATTTAACAAAAAAAGTTTGCGAGTCACGTGAACAGAGCGCCCGAAAAGATGAATTACATTTAAATATTGAATTTTTTATTTTAACATTTGAATTGTCTCTAGTTCATCGTTTGACCATGAAATTGATAAAAAAAATTTTTTTTTCTTTTACTTTTATTTTAAGTTACACACATTTTACTTTGTAATTTCAGTATATATTTTTTTTGATTTTGATTTTGATTTTGAAGAAAAAAAACGACAATCAGTGTAAGTAAAATTTAAAATAAAATAAAATAAAAAAAAATGATTCCTCTATTCCTCTGTTTCACTCTTGTTATATATCGACCAAACACGCGATTCGCGGTTACCATGACAAGACTCGCGATTTGCTTGTAGTCTGACTCGTATCGGCATTGTCACTTGTTTACGGTCAACATTTATTTGCACAAACCATCACTATTATTATTATTATTTTTTTTTTTATAACAATTTAATTAGACTTTGATGAGTTGGTTGTTTTAGTAACAAAAGTAAATTTTGTCAGCAGTTTAAATGGAAACCAAAGGTGCTCTTGATTTACAATCACTCGACCAAATAGATCAATATGATCTTGAAAAAGTTTATAAGGAAGATAATTTAATTGATATAAAAAGTTTTATCAACGTCGAAAAAAGTATTGACAAAAATAATTGTCAAGTAAAAATTATTAATAATAATAATAATAATAATAATAATAATACAGAGTTTATCAGCAAAAACATTAATGGTGAAATAAATGATAAAGCTCCTGAGCTTATTGGAGAAATAATAAAAAATAATTATTGTTTTGATCAACATATTTCGGATGATGATGATGATAATAATAATAATAATAATAATAATAATAATAATAATAATAATAATAACAACAAAATAATAATAATAATAAAAGATAAAGTTTATCAATTCAACGAAAAAGAACATGGAACGAGGTAATTATTGTATATTAATATAAATATATATTTATATGTTAATGTTTATAATAAAATTTTGATTTAAGGATGACAGAAAATTTAATAAAAAATCATTGTAAAAAAGAAGGTTTATATGTTACGCCTCATCTCAATGACGTCCTCTATCTCCATTATAAAGGATTTTCATACATTGAAAATCTTAGCAAATACACGGGTCTAAAGTGCCTGTGGCTCGAGAATAATGGAATACGGGAAATCGCTAATCTCAGTAATCAAACTAAACTAAAATCTCTCTATTTACATCATAATTTAATCAGTAAAATTGAAAATCTTGAACATCTTACGGAGCTTGATACGCTAAATTTAGCTCACAATACTATTAAAAAAATTGAAAATTTAGGTAAGTCTAATATTTCAATAAAAATACTTACAAGTATTTACATACCTATTTATAAAATTATTTATAGATTGTCTAAAAGTTCTCAATACCTTAAACTTATCCTACAATTATCTCAAGAGCTTTAAAGATATTGACCACCTGAAATATATTAATTCACTGTCAGTTGTTGACGTATCGCATAATCAAATCGAGTCACCAGAAGTTATTGAGGTATGCATCTACCTACGCATTTAAATAATAATAATTTATGTAAAAAATAAATTGACACAGATTTAAAAAAATATTATTTTTTTTTTATCTAGATTTTTGGCACTATGAAATCTTTACGAGTACTGACATTAATGGGAAATCCGGTTGTAAGAACCATTAAGCCCTACCGTAAACTAATCATTTTAAAATGTAAAAATCTTTGTTATCTTGACGACCGTCCAGTATTTCCCATCGACAGAGCCTGTGCACTAGCCTGGTATTTATTATTTTTAAGAATTTACATTTTCATAAATATTCATAAATATTTATTTGACTTAGGGAACGCGGGGGTGCTGAACAAGAAAATCAGGAACGTCAACGGTTGACTAAAGAGGAGCACAAAAAATTAACAAATAGTATCTGTGCTTTAATTAATATTAAAAGTATTGAAGAAAAAAAAGAAAAAAATTTTGTTCAGTTAAACAATTAAAATTTGGCAAGTAATGTAGTTTATCTATCTTTCGAGATAATTTCAATTAATAAATTAATTACTTAAATTATTTATCAATTAATTATGATTTGGTACAACACAAATATAATTAAAGAGGAGGAAAATTTTTTTTTTTTTAATTATTAAAATAATTAACTAAAATTCACACAACCAACTAATAAACTTTAACCAAAATTTTCAGAGGTCAAGGTAACACAAAATAAATCAAACAATTATAATTATTATTCATATTATTATTATTATTTTTCTTTAAATACCTACATACATTATTGTTATTATTATTATTATTATTATTATTATTTTCATTATCCACATTCACATTAAATATACTGACGTTTGATGGCAATGAATGAGCCTCGGTGAAGTAATGATAAGGTTATTATCTTATTATCATTATTATTATTATCATCACTATAATAAACAATAATAAAAATAATAATTTATAATTGTTGTTAATTTGAGATTACAACGCCAATGATGAATGAATATAAATAATTTCGCCAGTATCAGAAATTTATACGTTACTTATTATAATATTATTATTATTATTATTATTATTAAAACACGGTACAAGTTAATTGTTTCCCATTCATACTAAAGAGATAAGAAAAGTTTTTTTTATGCAATGGGCGCTGACGCTGTCGTAATTATTGCGTCCATTTATTACCATTTGTATATATTTAATTATTATTATTATAATTATCATCCACTTAATTGGCTTGTTTTGTGAATATTAAAAGCCGTAGACAAAATTATTCGTGTAATATCACGCTCATTCTATTTTATTTATTTTTTTTTTTTTTCTCATTAATAATATATTAATTAAAGTTTAAATTAAAATAACAAACTAACAAAAAGAAATTAGAGCGCGAGTTTTATTCACTTGGACCATTTAATAATAATAATAATAATTATTATTATTATTATTATTATTATTATTATTATTAACAAAATGATAGACCTATAATTATTACACCCCTTTCTGATTTTTTATTTTAACGCTCTTGATTGGATCAATTTGATATTGTTTATTTAATATATTATTAGATTATTATTACCAAGCTTATATTTTTAAGTAAATTATAGTGTTTATACTTATATAATTGATAATAAATAAATAAAAAACTAAAAATTTAATTCAGTATCAAATCCTTGAAAAACCTAATCTTGTCAGTTTAAAATGCAGTACTTGGGGTTAAAAAATTTATTAAAAAGCAAGAAAATTACATAGATTGTTATTATAGTGTTGTACCACTTTAGATAAATCAAGCGTTAAATATCAATTATTAAATATTCATTTATAATCGATAATGTTTGTCCGTTAACTATAGTAGCTGATAATCCCGTATTATACGTATATAATAATAGTTTAAATGTTATATAAAAAATTGTTGAAATCCGTCTTGTCTATCTACCGTTTAACAGTAAAGACACGTACCCTCCATTTATTATTATTATTATTATTATTATTTATATTATTATTTTGTTAGTTAATATACACATTAATTATTTTTTTGGCTTGTACTCCTCATTCGCTTAACTCATTCATATTTTTTCGTATTCGGTAATTTTTTTAAAAATCGTTTGCTTGAAATTTTAAACTCGAAAGAGGCAGTTGTTACTGACGTCAAGCGTCATTTTGCAATTTTAGAAAAAAATAAATAAATATTTGGCGTATAAATATGTATGATATATAATTACTTGGTGCGTTAGTCAATGAAATAGGACTCAATCAATAAAAATTTTACTTAATTAAATAAAAAAAAAGTAAAAGGTATTTAATTAAATAACAAAAGTTTGTTTGTTTATCTTTTTCACTTTTTTTTTCTTTTTATTTTTACTATGACTAGATTTATAAATTTAGTAATTTTTACTCAAATTTTAATTAACATTACTTAGTTAAATGATAAATTAAAGGACCAAATGTGAATGAAGCTCGCGGATAACGCGTTAGTACAAAAGGGTTTACAAGATCTAGATACAAAAAATCGCAGATCATACTTGTGCTTTTGCAGTTATTAATATTATTATTAATATTATTATTATTATTAATATTATTTTTATAATAATTATTATTATATAGATAAATTATTTATTGTTTACATAATAATAACAATAGGATCTTAATTACGGAAAGGCAAGATTTGATTGAAAAACGCAGGAGTAAATTGACCGAATTACAATCTTGTAATTAAAATTATTTTAACCAAGTTTATTTATAATTTTAAAATTTAAGATTGATTTCAAATTATCTAGCCCCTGTCGTAAATAATTAAATACCTTACATACTAATTTATTATTATTATAATTATTAATTACTTATTAATTAATAACTTACATTATTATTATTATTATTATTATTTTAAATGCAGTCACTAAAAACAAATTTTCGAGTCCTATTTCATTAATTATAACTGTAAATAGTAAGAAAAGAAATTAATAATTAATTTAAAAAAAAATGTCAAAGTTTAGTATGATTTATTTTTTTCTATTTAATTATTAATATGAATTTATTATTATCTGGACTATTTTTGTTAAAGATTTAGCTTATGGCAAAGGTCTATACAAAATAAATAACATATTAAAATAATTAACACCGTAATCAATAGTAATCATAGTATCAATATTATGAATATTTATTGTAAATGAATGTTTTTAATTAATATATTTTATTGTTTTGTTATTTTGTGTGATCGTATGTGCGCGAGGTTGCGTGATTTAAAGTGCTCTCGATTTATTAAACGTTAAGACGTTTTTAATCGATACGGATATTGCCAACAACATTTCGAGATTATTCGAGATTATTCGAGAACAGTATATTTGTTAATATTATGTATATATATTTTATATTTTTATCCTTAAGTCACGTGTGTATTGAACACAAAAAATTTATTATCTATTAAATAAATTTAATACCAACAAAATCCAGTGACTTTTAGAGCTTTTTTCCAGCGGCACATGCAGACGAACTGATACTGTTGGTTCTGTTTACACTTTTTTTTTCTTTTTTCTTTTTCCTTTTTTTTTTTTTGTTCTTTTTCTTTTTCTTTTATATACTTGAATTAATTAAAAACTCACAGATTCTAATTCCAAATACGTAAAAATGAGTCCCATGATCCCGTTGCCACTGCCATTCCATCCTCGGTTACTCCAAGACAAGAAACACGATTATCATGTCCCGCAAGTATTCCTGAATTTTAAAAATATTATTTAATAAAATCCTATTAAATCGTATTAAATAGACTAAGAAAAATAATTTCAATTTTATTTTTAAAATATAATTATTTTATTATTTTTCTTAGTGTAATTGAGAAGGACTAATAAATATAAATAATTCACTTCTCAAGATTAAAAAAAAAAAAAAAAAAATGGATATAAAAATAATTACCTGCACGTTCACTTTTCATAGAATCCCAAACATTACAATTAAAATCATCGTAACCAGCTAACAAAAGTCTACCACTTTTGCTAAATGCTACACTTGTAATACCACAAATAATGTTATCGTGACTGTACATTGCTAATTCTTGATCAGCACGTATATCAAAAAGTCTGCAAGTTGCATCATCAGATCCAGTAGCAAATGCATAACCATTGGGGAAAAACTAAAAAATATATAAATATTATTTTTACAGAAATTTTTAATAATAAATAAATATTAATAATTACCGTAACGGCATTTATATCACTTTCATGACCAGGGAAAGTTTGTTTGCAGGAACCTTCACGTATATCCCATAATTTAGCGCTAGCGTCACAAGCACCAGAAACAAAAGTTCTCATGTCTGGTGCTAATGATAATGACATTACATCCCCGGTATGACCAATAAAAGATGTGCACTGTTGGCCAGTTTCTATATCCCAGAGTGCACAAGACATGTCTCCAGAACTGGTCACTATTTGATTATCATCGATAAATCGACAACAGGATAAGTATCCGGTGTGTCCAGGTAACTCACGGCTAACACGTACATTACCCTCTCGAGTTTTCAGACTGTATATAGAGCAAATGTTGTCAAGACCTCCGCAAGCAACATAGCTTCCAGAAGGAGCGTATGCGCAGGTCATTACCCAGGATGACCTAAGTGGAATTGCGTGGACCTTATTCGTGGTATAACTGTCCCAAACAATTAATTTACCATCCTGGGATGCTGATACCAAATTCCTGTTTGTGTAATTGCTATTATTATTATTGATATTAAAACTTGCAGAGAGTTGATTAATACATACCTTGAATCACTTCCCCAGTGCATAGCGTAGATTTTTGCCAAGTGACCACGTAACGTACGTCTTGTTCGCATTTGTATTCGACCAATTGGTTCCATTCCTGCTGTTGCTTGGACCAAACTTGTGTCGCACGCCACTTTTCTTGCATCCTAAAAAATTTTAATTATTTAATATTTATTTTTAAAAATAGATTAATTTCAACAGTAATAATGTTAATTTAAAAAAAAAAAAAAAAAAAAAAAAATCACAACTAGGTATCAGCAAATCGTGATATTCATTGTTTAATTTTTTTTCTTTTTAGATAGATTAATGTACATTTTTTTTTTTTTTTTTTTTTTTTTACAACAATCAAGTGTCACCGGTACTAGTATATGATATGTCAGAGTTGCAATAGCTCACAAAATCACAAAAACACAAGAATACAAGAATACGAGAACGAAGAAGGATGATGGTGGTATTGATCAGTGTTATATGCCGCGCCCTACTACAAGCTCCCTCTTTACCCTAACATTTTCCAATGATATAAAAACTAAAATTAATAAATTTACCAACTTACTCGAATAGCATTTTTCAAAGTTTCCGCCTCCTGGCGAAGGCTATCTAATTCATTCATGTTGTTGTTTTTTTTTTTGTTCTGATTAAATTCACCAAAATAAGTTTTTTAAATTATTTTTCTTCTTCTTCTTCTTCTTCTTGTCGTGCTTTTATTTTAGTTTATCTTCTTCGGAAGCTCCAATAAATTAAAGCCTGTTTATTCTAAACGGCTGGCGTCCTCTTTTCCTTTGCCAGTTAATATTCTTCTGTCTGTAATTTCTCCAACACAGTCACCTGCTGACGCCAGCCGAAGTCGTTACCAGCCACCACTTTTTCAGCCTTTTCCGCCCCTGTAATAAAAAAAAAAAAATTAGCAAATGTATTCGATATCTTATGATGAAGATAATAATGAAAATAAATGTATTGTTATTTATTTTATAACTGATAATAATAAAATTATAAGATTTTTGGGCAATCGCCCAGTAATTTTTTTTTTTTTTTTTTTTTTTTTTTCTCTTAAAGCAATAACCTGTTGATTCTTTAAAATTATATGGCGAATTGCCACAAGCCTACGTCCGTGACCTAGTAAGAACAGAACCTTTATAAGGTCCACGCCCACTCTCTCTTTCTTTTGCTAATATATATTGTTGTTGTTGTTATTATTAACTATCAAAAATAAAAAAATCAAAGTGTCTTTTAAATTAAAAAATTTAAATATTTTTAAAAATTTTGCGAATGCGTTTCCAAACATACTTTTAAAAGTGAGAATTATGTAATTATAGAACGATAAATCTAATAATTAAAATTAATATTTTTTTTTATTTCTCACATAAAATTGTCACTTACTGGACACCTCGTATCGTCACGATATCATTTCCACCTCTTCATAACTAACCTCTTGACGTCAATTAGCACGCCCTCAGAACCGGACACACTTTTTATTACTCAAAAATGATAATAAAAAACTTAATAGTTAAATTTTATTGTATATTTTAGGTGATTTATGTAAAATCCACATGATTGATTCATTTAAATATATGTAATCATTAAAAGATGTAAGTATGTAATCCAATATTTAATTTTTTGTAAAATATAATAATATTAGCAACACATTTAAATCGGTTTATTGGAATTAACAATGAGGAACGACGGAAGCACACGAGGAAGAGAATGAACTAGAGAATATGCCTATGGAGGGAGTGAAGAAGAAAAAAAAAGTGACTTTGGTGATAGTGGTGGTGGTGGTGGTGGTGGAGGTGGATGAAGAGGAAGAGTGACGTCGGTTGCGTACTGGCTCGGGTTGTACGACTCGAAATCGATGAGGGAAACAGCTCAACGCCCCACTCGAGACTACTGCGGTCGTCCAAGTTCTCTATTGTCTCGTTTTTATTTTTTTATTCATTTCTTTTTTTCCCCACTAATTTAAAAAATAAATATATTTGAATTATAGACGTATCTATCTATATTTATAAATTAACAAAAGATATTGTTATAAAAAAAAAAAAAAAAAAAAAAAAAAAAAAAAAATAGCAAATGATAATAAAATAATTGTAATAAATAAATAAATAAATAATATATAAAAATATAAAAATAACGACCACACCCAGTATTTACGATGAGATTACGTCCGATTAAGCAGGATTGTCAAGACTTCAAACGGTTGCTAATATTGAACCTAGACTAGATTTTTACTTTATATTTATCCATACATATATATATACTGATGATGCTACTGGATAATACTTGTTCATCAGTTGATTACGCTTCGGCTCTTACATTACGGGTCATTAGCCTACAACTCTTTTAATATTTATTTAAGTTATAAAAAATAATAAGAAAAAAATTCTAGGGTTGATTATTTGTATTGGCTACCGCGGGAATTAGCAAACTTGAAGGCAGATGCTCAAGACGGTTGGATGACACCTGCTGTATACATTATTAAATACTTGTAAACATTTTTTTTTTCTTTTCAATATTAATTCTACTAAAAATTTTTCTGTATCGATATGAATGACGTCAAACTCTGACGTTACATATAATAGGGTAAGGAAATTCATTGCGTCGACGCAGGTCGCGAGCATTTTTTTAAACTTAAATTTTTTATGCAAGTTTATAGAGATTGTTTATTAGATCAAAGAGCTGGATGCTCCAAAATTATTCCCGGTTTTTCTCTTTTATCTTTTTTGTTATAAATATTTTTTATACTTCGGATAAATTTATTGACCTAATTTCAACTTTTCTCGGTGATTTATTTTTCGTATCAATCACCGGATAATATTAATTTATAATTTAATTTTATTAATTAAAAAAATTTTTTTCTTAATATTTTAGTAAAAAAAACTTTTCTCTTTCATTGCTAAATAAGTAACCAAATCGTGAGATTGTCATATAGGATAAAAGAAAAAAAATTTACTTTTAAAATAAAGAAATTATTTATGTAAAAAAAAAATTATTAATTAATAAAAAAAAGAAAAAAAAATAGAGTTACGCGTGCGCATTTAAAACACGCGCGCACGCATTACGCAAGAGAGATGACGCTTGTGCGTATTCTCACTAGATTAATTTCATTTAATAATTCAAATACGTGGGATTCTTAATACCAGCTCATAAAATAATTAGGTCGCAGAAATAAAATTTTTTCATTGACAACAAAAACAAATCTGTGACCCCCCCCCTCCCTCATCCCTCCTGTCCGCTCTGCCGACCTGATGGTCATCATTATCATCTACCCAATACTACTATTTAATCAATTAATAATTAACTGAAAAAAAAAAAAAATAATTTATAGAATATCAATAAATAAAAAATAAAAATAGTAATAGTAACATGGTTAAAGTTTAATCTTAAACGCTATTGGTAAAGATAAACCGTAAAAACACTGTATTTGACAGAATGGTCGCCATCTTTACGACTCACCCAAAACACAATCTCTCCTTTACTGTCATCAAACAATTAATCAACCAACAATCACTATAAAAAAAAAAATAATTGAATTTAAAAAAATTACCTGATTATTTAATTATTATTATTATTATTATTTTTTTAAAAACGATTTTTACTACGGCTTGCGTTCATTTATTATTACAACAAAACACAAGCACGAGTCATATATTAAACATATCAACAGAATTTAAGAAAAGATGTTGTTTTTTTTGTTGTTTTTTTCTCACAGTAAATATATATCTTAAAACTCTAGATAATATAAAAAAAAAATTTCATATATATTTACTCAACAAATATGACACAAACATGTAGGATAAATATAACACTGTGTCAGGTGTTTAAACAGAAGTAGCAGCGAGAACAGCAATAACAGCAACAGTCTTATCACCGGTAATATTTTTTAAAACACAATTTATAGTATTTTATTATTTATTAAATTTATTAAATTTATTGGATTTATTCAGCTTAAAGCTCGCGTCTACCGTCTACCGTCTACCAGACGTGTTAAGATGGTGTCCGATAGGTGGAGGTAATTATTATTATTATTATTATTTTTTTTTTTTATAAACTACAGTACTTAATTGTTTTATATATAGATAGAGTTAAAGAACGCGGGATTATTATCGTCGCACAATTGTTTACTATTTTAATCAATTAAGCGCACAGTCAAATAATAACTTTTGTTTTATTTAAATATAATACTTTTATTAATATTTTTTATTTAAGTTAATCTCAATACTGCTAAGAGCTCGTTTTACCAACGACATCGGCTTGCTGGCGAGCGGCAGGGTGGGGCTCCTTGAATGGACTCCCGTGGACCCCGTAGATACACGATTGTTAACGAATCAAACCGAAATTTATCGAGTTTAAACGATTTATAACGAAGATATCTGCGCAGCTTTTAAGCGGTAAATTTAAATTTTTGTTTTCTTATTGTGTCTTTTTTATCAACTAGTAGTAAGTAATTTTAATTAATATATAATAAAATTTATTTTAGACGATAATATTAGTGTTATCGACGGTTGATTTATGATTTAATTGTTTTGAATGTATTCATTCATATATTATTATAGTTAAAACTACAAGGAATTATATATTTATATTTAATGATTATTTCACATGAAAGTAATTTAAATCAAACGTAGGAGTGATATTGGAGATATAAAGTGTATTTTTCAATTAAACAATTGCTTCCCAATTGACATAAAATAATAATAGTAATTAAAATTATTAGGTAAACAAATTAGAAAAAAAATTATCAACCACGACTATTGAAAAGATGTTGATATAAATTAATATAAAATGAAAGTTTGAGTAAAAAACAGTGTTGATGTGTATTAGAAATTTAGTTGGACAAATAAGTTAACCGATTAATAAAATAAGAGCAAGTTTAAACTATTGATTGATGAATAAATGTATGTAAGTATGTACAGAAAGCAATGTCAGTCATCAGCATGCAATTAACTCATGAAATGTCGTGTGGAATGCAAAATTAAAGGGACGGTACTGTCTGATCGTACTTGACGATCTGAACACGCGATAATCCACTACAATGCATCGTCGCATTTAGTATGCAATTTAAAACTCCTGAAAGCCTCGTCATTATATTATATTATAATATATATATATATATATAACACCAGATTACGACTGCTCACGTTCCTCAAATCTTTTTAACTACTGAATAATCGTCCTCATTAACATTCGAGGCCATTAATATCCAATAAATCAACACTTGTGTCTCTATAAACATATACATGATTATTGATCAACAAATATCATTTATTTATTATTATTTATTATTTATTATTTATTTATTTAAACATTTAAACATTTAATCCAAGGCTGTATCTCTCTTATCAATCATGTTTTTTACCAACTGAAATATTAATGTATAACAAAAAAAAATTTTAAAGATTTTAAGCTCATACTTTTTTACAACATCCAGAATAGTTCCGAACATAAAAACTTATAGCTTTTACTTATCTAAAATCCGAAAATCCGTTCTACTTTTCTGCTATCATAAATTTTTTTTTTTTTATTTTCTACCAGAACGAAAACTCACCGATATAGATATTAGATAGGCTAACAAAATATTATTATCACCTAAATAAAAATAACAACCGCGTTAATTGTTTGTTAAATTTATCAATATTACTATGTTGTATTTATTTTTTTTAATAGTTTAGAATAGTTCAAGTTACAATTTTTTTATCTAAGTTGTCTATTTTTTTTTTTTTTTTTTTTTTTTTTTTTTCTATTCTGTCTCATTGTTTAATCTCTATACTTTTCGTTTTTTACTTTTCGCGCCGGTGGGGGATTCAAATCTGCGGCTGCGTTGGTATTTTTACGCATGCGCAACTGTTCGCGCAACGCACAAAATATGTAGACAAACGAGAGCAAGTTAGGACTCGAAGTAAGACTCGGGCTCAGGATTCGCGTTAGCTGTTCCGTCGTCGCACTTGAGCCGTCAAGCCGATATCATCGGCACTATAATCTTACATTGACGGCTTAACTTTTTAAGTAAAATATTTATCATTAATTAATAGATTACTTAAAAAATTAATAGAAAAATATGTCGACAATTGAGTGAAAATTTTTAAGTGGTCATTTTGTTTTGTTTTTTTCGTTTCATTTCGTTTCGTTTCGTTTATTATTATTATTATTATTATTATTATTATTTTTAGTCTACAATTATTAATAAAATAACAATGAGAGGCAAAGTGTTGAAGAAAAACAGAAATAAACTGATTGTTGATGGTGCTGAAAATCAAGTACAAAAATAAAACATGCCCCTGAGAGGCTGCCGATAGTAATGCACAGCTGACCAAGCGGTCACTTGAACATCGAATCTAAATAATGAAAAAAAATTTATACATAATAATAATAATAATAATAATAATTAATTAACTTAACGTTACTTTGTTATTTAGAAAAAGCCACACGTGCCTCAGGTTTGTCACGTATCAATTTATAAATTTGTTGTTTTTTATTTTAAAGAGAAAGATATAATAAAAATAATTAAAAATAAAATAAAAAGAATAAGCAACGAACAAGTGGAGGATTATATACAACAAACAAACAAATAAAAAAGAAAAAAAAATTTTTTAAAATTCTTAAAATGACGAGGCAAGTCATCATTTTAAATCACGTTTCAATCTTTCAAGACTACAAACCTACATTGTGGATCGATTTACATGTGGAGGTTTACTTAAACTCTCTTGATTATAAATCAAATCTCATAAGCAAAAGGGTCCAGAACCTAGTAAAAGAGACGACATATACAGTCCTAGATTCCTAGACTGAACATTTTATTTATTATTTATGATCAAAATAACTAATAATATTTACAATAAACCGACAATCACACAGTGCATTTATTTTTCCGTATTAATAATAATTACTATCGGATTAGACAACTACACTAGTTGAATTAAACAGTAAAGGTAAACTAACCGAAAAATAAAAATAAAAAATAAACGGGTTGTCGAATAGATAAAAATTGTATTATTTACTAATTATCGAAAAAAAAAAAATAGCTGATTATTAGAAGATTTGTGGAAAAAAAATCTTGGCAACGGATAATACTAAAAATTCCCTGCGACGCTTTTTCGAATACACGCATTCACATCGGCCTTCAGCTATTAAATTTTATTTTTCAGCAAATGCTTTTTAACTATTTGCTCTATATACGTGTTTTTTATATAAAAAAATTTAAATTTATTAATAATAATAATAATTTTAATTATTAAGTGTAAATAAGTAATTATTATGCTCAATTCGTGCTGTGCTTTTTTACATACTCTTGACAGTGAGTGTTTATTTTGGTAGTGCGTAGTGCCGAAACTCTTGTTATTCATATTTATATTTAAATATTTGAATATTTAAATATTCAATTATTGTTTACGGCTGTTGTTGATAGTGCCAGTTATTTTTAGGTAATAGTGGTCCAAAAGGACATAAAAATAAGGGATGCCTGTCAGAAGGGGCCACGTTGCACCAAGGACCACCATTATCGAAACCATCATTAGAAAATTTGATACTCATGGTAACCCATTATTATTATTTTCAATTTATACTTTTACTTTTTCATTTATAAACAATGATTATTATTATTATTATTATTATTATTATTATTATTATATTACAATAGTCAAAAATCTGGACCATTTTATTAAGTATTGTGATGACTTTATTATATCTAAAGTTTTAAGTTTTAACAATAAATTAGAGCTTCAATTCCCAGTAACAATAATTTTCACATTTTATTGAGTATTTGTAAAATTTTGATTTTAATTATAAAAAATCGGGATTTAAATCTAGAAATCGTATTTTTCCATGTGAGAAATCATGCACTTTAAAAAAAAAAAAAAAAAAAAAAAAAATAGGTACTAATAATTTACAATTATCTTTAAAAATAAATCATTTAAGTACTTGTAGAAATTTTAGACTGTCAAAAAAAAAAATATTTTACAATATTTTACTGACAGTAATTCATCAAAATAAAATTGAAAGATTATGTACACGTACGCAACATAAATCACCTGTAAAAATTTAAACATATTTTTTAATAAAAAAAGTAAAATCATCGATTTATCAATAAATATATAAATAAATGAAGGAAATAATTTAAAAAATTGTATCGTTGATATAAATCAATTTTAACCTATCATGAATCTTGATACACCGTATTAACATTTAGTGGCCTTGACCGTGTAATTCTCTTGTTAGATTATAAAATTTCTAATGACAATAATAATCGTTGGTTATAAAAATCTCAAAATAATCAGTATTTATCACAAACTGTAATTTATCTAAATAGTCCTTACTATAAATTATTACTTTGTACCAACACCGTCTATATAATAATAATAATAACATATTATAATAGCGTTATCACGAATTGATTACTTAAAATTAATTTGTCAATCACATCAATTAAATAAAAAGAAATATGAAAATAAAAAAAAAAAAACAATCCGGATTACTCGGAAGCTAATCGAAATAGACAGACGGATAGATTTCACCGCATCCGTACAAGTTTTAACGTAACATATGTACCGACTCTAATACCTTAAAATTTATATTCTAAATGACAATTGTCCTCTTTTTTTTTTTTTTCTTTTTTTTTATATCCCTTTTCTTAATGTTAATTTCAACTAATGGCTTCTAATCCGACATTTATTAAACTGAAAATAAAATATTTTATCCCTCGGTTAAGGCTTCGACTTTGCCGCGATAATAATAATTAATAATTATATAGATAGATACCTGAAGGTTTATTATTTCCATAATATTAAAGCTGATTAACATGAATAATGATATCTATTTTGGGCAATACCGGAAGGATATTTTCAGTAGTACAAATTCGTCCTCGTTGGTGAGTACTATGTCCGCATGATTTTCCCGCATCGTGGCAAATACGTGACCTCGGAACCGCCAACACGCTCGCCCCTGCCCGCAAATCCACGACCCACTTATCATTATTATTATTATTATTATTATTATTATTATCATCAATATCGGTATTATAATATTAAAAACAAACAAACAATTGTTTAATATACACCTGAGTCGGTGTCAGTAGTGTCAGTAATAATATACATAATCGTGAATTTGAAATCTAGTGAGACTTTGACCGTTTTATTCAGGGCCTTATCAAATAAAAAGTTGGAGAGGTAGAGGTAAAGAACAAAAAACAAAAAACAAAAAACAAAAAACAAAAATGTGCCAGGACTTAAGAATAATGGTAATGGCCTTTTTTCATCTACGAATAATCTTCACGTGTCACTTTAATTTAAGCTTTATTATTATTATTATTATTATTATTATTATTATTATTATTATTATTATATTTGATATACTTTAAAGATAGAGATAGAGGTTTTCAATTTTGTGGCGAAAAACCACAATGAAATATATAGCCAACGGGCTGCATAGAGAGGAAGGTGGTTCTAAAATGTAATGGAACCCAATACAGATATTAGAAATATCGTTGGTGATATGAAAATATGAGAATATGAGTAGAAGAGCTCATGAGCAGTCGACGAGCTCATTGCGGCTCGACCACGATAAATTTATCCTGTGTACTGCTGACGATGAGTTTGGCAACAAGCCAAACTTTTTAAATTTCATTTTTAAGCTACTTCTACTATAATGTCAGTTTACTTTGTTTTATTATTATATTATATTATATTACCAACCAGAGAATCCAATTGATTTGCATTTTTCTTTGATTCTGCGTCTAACGCTAAATTTAAATTCATTTCTATATAATATCTTTTTATTGATGAAAATTATTTTATTAAATAAATTAATAACCAAAAATTTATTTAAAATTATAATTTTTTTTTACAAAGACATAATAACGTTTAGTACGAAATAAATAATAAATTCATAGAATTTTCACTTAAGTATACTTCCGTTTCATATATATTATTATTCGTAATATATATCTTGAAGTAAATATAGAATAAAATTTTCAAGGTCTCATTGTAAATAATTATTATAAATTTTAATTGAAAAATTTTTTTTTTAATTTTTTAATAAAAAAAAAAAAAATTAATGTTAGAATAAAAGCATGTGTGCAGACATTACACGGGTTTATGTTACCAAAAATATTTAATAGCTGTTCTGGCAGTATTATTTAGGACGAAGGTCATACAACCATTCAACCGGAAGTTTTCCAGAGTCTGTAAAAATATAAAAATAAATTTTGATTATTTTAAAATTTTATTTACATTGTAACAAATTTTGCTATAAATATAGGTCAATATAAGTAACAACAAAATAATTGTATTTAATATTTACAGATAGAAGTTTTTTGGTAGCCAACGCTCAACAAGGACTATGTCACATTATTTATTGTTCGGACGGATTTTGCCGGCTTACCGGATTTTCGAGGGCGGAGGTGATGCAACGACCAGCCGTTTGCGATTTTCTTCATGGACCAATGACCTCACCTCATGCTATTGCTGCATTACGCGAAGCATTGATTGCAGGCGCTGAAAAACATTTTGAAATTCTTTATTACAGAAAAGACGGTGAGTTTTTTTTTCGTTTAAAAACTTGCAATATATTATAAAAATATTGTGTAATTGTTTTTTAAGCATAAAAAAGTGTTGTTTAGTTTTTAATATTATTATAATTATCATCATCGTCTCTTTGATATGGTTATGGGATGAGTAAATAAAAAAATTTTATTATCGGGTTGTAAATATTTAAATAATTATTCACAAAAATATTATCAGCAGTTATGATTAATCGAAAAGTTATAATTGTTTTAATATTAATATTTAAAAAAAAAAAAACCATCACGATTTAGCCGTAGTGACCTTAAGAATGATGAGATCGATAGCCACTGTATAATTTATTATCCGTTGTATATGTGTCCAAGTTGCCTTTGCTTGTCAGTATACTGTCTGTTATTACATGTGACCCATGACCCTTTATCCCTTTAATATACTTTTTTTTTCTTTTTATTATTATTATTATTATTATTATTATTTGTATCTGGGGAAAAAAATGAGCCAATATCACACCCAAAACTAAAACAATCTATATATCGACGACAATCTGACGACAACTCGAATCATTCATGTTATATATGTATACAACATTCTCTTATTTTACCCAATCTCACTCACACGACATTCAAGCTTTTCTCGCTACTTATTTATTCAGAGTAAAGTCGGTCTCTATACTCTCTAAAAATGAATCAGTGGAATTTCACTGTTTCACAGTTATAAGTCTACCAAGTGGTATACTTATAACTGTGAAACAGTGAATTTACTACTAATTTCCAGTGATTTTCACTGTTTCAGATTTAGAGAGTAAGCCACCCGCTTAACCGTTTAACCGTTTAACCGTTTAACCGTCGCGACCAATATAACCGAATTACCATCGGGATTATAAGCAATAGAAAATATAAAATTTATCCCGGGGCTTTTTTTTTTTTTTTTTTTTTTTTTTTTTTCAATATTATTAAATAATAAAAATCGTGCAAATAGATAAAGAAGCGATTAAACGATAGTTAACATTGCTAGAAGTAATTGAAAAGTAACTAGATTTATTTAATTTTAAAAATGAATTTCTTATTTAACGATTGGTGATTTGCATACACAATACATAAAAGAAAATTCAACCACCTGTTACCTACACTGTTTTTCACACATTATTTACATACATTTTATAAATACTGGCGTAATTTGTTAGGGAATTCCTTTGAATAAAGATTTACTTTGGAAATTTAATCTTTCGACATTTATAGCTCGATATCTATCTATATATATATATATATATATATATATATTTACTGATAGGTCGTCTATAATCATGTGTTTACTCTTGATGATAATTTTTACAATTTTATAAATTCTACTGTATATTTAATTTTTAAAAGTTCCAAAGCATTCTATAATTTGAAATTTAAATTATGATAAATATTTAAATTAAAACTTAGTTTAAAAAAATTAAAAAAATATGGTCTCTGATCACTTATTATTATTGAGTAAAATTTCAAGTACGTATATATAATTTAGCTAATACCGGAACTCGGGCACTAAAAATAACCCAATCTTTCACTGATGAGTAAACAAAAATAACCGGATGGAAATTAAAAATAATAAATTAGTAATTTCATCGTTGAGTTTTACTATTCAGTACATTATTATTTATTTTTTTCTTTTTTCATTCACAGTAAAAATAATATGAAACAAATAACCAAATGAACAATATCTTGTTTAAACAAAAGTTTTAATGAGAGATATAGTCGGCAAGTCGAAGAGCATGCATATATCTTAGCTTAGTAACACAATTCAAAAGGAGGACACACGCGCGTTATGTCTCTTATAATCTTTGATACTTTTTTAAACCAGTCTTAACACGTGTTATGAAAAAAAACAAAAAAAAAAATAAATAAATAAATAAATAAAAAAATAATAATAATAATAGTATATGATCTGTGTTTTGATCGACCCAGATACTTTACCAATTCAGTATATATGTGCTATTAAATAGCATGGTGTATGGTGTATTATGAAGAATATATTAGTAGATGAAACAAAACGTATATTATATACATACATACCAATAAAACGTCACTGGGGCAATGCACTCACGTGGTAGTGACGTCACGAGGCCGATAGCACCGTCATCGACCAATTGGGGAAGCAGCCGTTGACCCAAACTACTGCTCTCGGATTTACTGTGTAGTCTTTTAACTATTTACATTAATTTTACAAACTCATTGCCTTATTCTATATCATTAATTTTTTTTTTAAATACATTATTTTAGCTGTACACTTTATCCGGGTATTATTGTTTTGTTCGCTCGCCAAACCCCAATAGTGATATAACGATAATATTTGTAGCAGCCTTACCTGTGCTAGGTGGCTGGTTTGCTCAGACTCCCACGCATCCCTTTAATCTACGTGAAACAATAGTGTGTGCCTGTTATTTTTTTAAAAGCCAATCGAGATTCAATATTTTAACGATTAATGTTAAAATTTTATTTTTTCAAATAAAAATACAGATTTTTTTATCTGTTTTATTTAAAAAAAAAAAAAAACCGAAAAAAAATATTATAGTGTAAATATATGTATATAAAGTACTTAAATAGAGTATGTAAAAGCCTGTTGCTTATTCTTATTAAATTACATAAAGTTGTTGGTGTTTTTTTTTTTTTTTTTTTTTTTTTCTCTCTTAATAAAACAAGTCTAGTATCGGTGTTGATCCTTGATCCTCAGTCAAAAGTAGTTAGAAGTAGTAAGAAAAAGTCTTGGTTGGGCGTCGACACAAGCTTCTAGCACAAGCACCCTCTACTTTACTCTTTTCGGATCGATGAACGTATTCCACAGCTTCCATTCCATGCAGCATCCCACCAACAGCTCTCCATCCTTCTACCCTTACTTAAAATTTACACAACCTCCGTACATTCACCTTATTTTCAATACTTGATTTTAAATTTATTTTTTCTATAAAATTTCAACTTGCAGAAACTTTATTTTTATATTGTAAAATATTTCTAATGAAAATAACAAACTTGAATAAGAAATCACTCGTTGAAAAAAATTTATTGATCAATTTGACACTATGAAATAATAAAAAAAAGTAGGATTTAATTAAATGAATATATTTATAAAAAATAGTCGTTCAATTATGTAGGTTGGGAAAGGCTATTCATGTATGTATATTTATTTTATTTTTAATTTTTTTTTTCCATCCATTGATTTTTTGCTGCATATCGTGTTCTATAAACGGAAGTCTATCGACAAGAATTTCCAGGTTGCTATTATTCTCTCATCTACTCTTTCTCCGACGCTATTAACTACCATTCTCATGTAATTACTCTGTATTATGAATTATTACACAATATGGATATTTAAATATGTATAGGAGAGTAATTATCTAATTATATATCTATACTTTTATTATACATTGATATTTCATTAGTTAATTGTGACAGATATTATAACTTATTTTTTTAATAAGTGTATTAAATATTTTGAAATCGGTAAAATAAATCATGAATAAAAATAAATTTCAGGTACAAAGTTCTTGTGTAGCGAGGTTATCGCTCCAATAAGAAGCGAGGTGGATGACATCTGCCTGCAGATTATCAATTTTGAAGATCTTAGTGCTCAGCCACCCCCGCCACCAGCTGTGCCTCCCCCTTCAACAACTAATAATCGTCTTGCTACCCGATGTAAGTTAATATTATCTGATATATTATTATCATAAATTGATATATATATATATACTGTATATTATATAATATTAAGGAGATAAATAATAAATAAAAAATGGTTAAGGGTAAAAAAATACTTAAAATAAATAATAGATAAACTAACACATATTTTTGTTGATCGCGTTTTAGTTTTCGTTTTCGTCTTCGTATTTGTATTCGTATTTGTACTTGTTCGCACGGCAGACTATTTTTAGAGTTACCTCCGCAACGTTGTCGGCTAGCTGGTTAACGCGTTTAAATCGTTAACCCTGACCTGGTAATAAATGTTACAGTTGTTACTGTTATTATTGTTGTTGTAAAATTGTAAATTTGTAAATGTACTTTGAAAATTTTTTTTATCATTGTCAATTATTTATTATTTATATTTCTTTACGACCAACCGGTATTAAAATTTAACCGCGTTCTATTTGTTTATCAGAAAATTTAATATACTTAGTTATTTTCTCAGCCAACACGTGTATTACGGATAACTTTGGTGTAAACAACCGGGGGCCGATCACGTGTTGTTGATATTAAAACTTTGTCTTTTTTTATCTAATTGAGATCAAACGGAATATTCTTTATTTATACATATATGTATGTATAATCAACAATATTTTAATATAGTCAATCCTTTTGATAATAATTATATCAGTTTTAATTTATTCACTCGAGATCAGTTGATAGATAGATAGATAGATATTACTTATTAGTTATTATTATTATTATTATTATTATTATTATTATCATCATCATTTATTAATTGTTTAAATGATGACTGTGACAGTTGATAGAGCCAGAGCATCCTTTCGAGCTGGATTGTCTAGAACTGGAGTAGTTGGTCCTCCGAGAGTTAGAAATAGACCGAGAGCTGCTTCAAATGTGCCACAGAGACAGCTTGCTGATGGGACCATTTTAGATGAAGAGGCTTCTGAAAATTGGTAAGTATATTTTATATTTATGCTTTTAAATTTACCATTAAATTTATATTTTTATTACAAAATGCGTGGGTATCTTAATATAATATAATATATGCTTGCATAAATTTCAGTTTTAAAGAGATATTTCGTCATTTTATTACAAAATTTTTTAAGTTATTAATTTATCAAAAAAACAATTCTTGAATTTTCTAATCTTCTTCAAGTTCAAATATTACCCAAAATCTCAATAAATAATTTAAAAAAAAAAAAACAAAACCCTCTGGTTATCTATTTATATACAAAAGCACTGAATTCTTTGGAATATATATACTTTATACAAATCAACTCAATCTATTTATTTTTTTTTTTGTGTTGAAATTGGTAGCAATAATTTATGAGATTTATTATATTCAGCCGGTAGCGCCAAGTACTTGATAAAGGTGTCTTTCTTTTTTATTTTGTAAAAAATTTTATGATTAAATTAAAAAAATTAAGACTTGTTTTAAAAGTTTTCAGTGATTTAAAATTTTTTTTATTTGCAAGTACTTAAAATGACCAACTCCTAAATGGAGACGATATACATCTATATAGTTTTTTTCTTTTCATATTTCTTTACTTAACTGAGTGTTCGCCAGAATATTACAAAAAAACAAAAGTTTCATTTAAAAGTAAACAAGGACACGGTTCCAATCTGAGTAGACAGTTATTTTAAGTTTGATAAAACAATGAATTTACTGTATATATACATATTATCGGTTATTTTTTTTTTTTATCTCTTTTCATTTTGAGCTTATTATTATTATTATTATTATTATTATCAATCGTTACAAATATTGATTGAAAATAAATAAACTACAAAATACTTTTCGTGATAGTATACTTTTTGAAACCTCATTGTATTCTTTAATAATGATTTTATTTTATTATTATTATTATTATTATTATTATTATTATTATTATTATTATTATTATTATTATTATTATAGTCATTTATATTAAGTTTATCGAGTGCTTTTGAGCATTATTGAATCAATTAAACACAAGTAACACCTGTTTAAACTGTTTTTTTTTTCTTCCTTAATTTTAATAATTGTAATGAAACCAACAGTATTTCCTTATTTTTAACGTTTACATCCCCTACCACTCCTACCCGATTTAAACGGGTCGTGAGATCTCGATTTCCACGGTCTCTTTTCCAACACGCGATCGATCCGACAACTAAAAACTACGACATATTTTTCTTTGCTTGTGAATAGAAAATAAAAAGTCATATAAATTACTCTTTACCACGCATTTGTTATTCTCTTTTTCAGACACTATTTTCTTTTTCTTTCTTTCTTTATTCATTTTCATTTATTAAAATTCACTCTGTTTTTCTTCTCCTCAAATATTTATATTTTCTCAAAGTTTAATTTATTTAATTGTGAGGCAAATAGTAGGTCTTTTTAAATATATATTTTAATTATTACAAAAAAAGAAAATTTTAATTTCAATTTTTTTTCTTTTAAATTGCAATATTCTCAAGTTAATTGAATATACACAAACGACGTAAAATTATTAATTTAATAATATTTTTGCCGATTTTTTTGCGAATCGATTCAAACATTATTTTATTTATTATATGAAGTTTAAAATTGACACATTGAAAGTTTGAATAAATTAGAATAATTTTATTTAATTTTTGATAAAATAACGTATGATTTTCTAAATTCTTGATTAATAAATTAAATTTTATATAATAAAATCTCGCGTTGACCCAGATAATAAACTATCTGATCTGAATAGACCTATAAAGTAGAACTACAGACATATATCATCAGATTTCTCTGTAGATTAAAATTTTTTTAAATAAATATTAAAAAATGTAACATATGCCGAGTGGTCTAGCCATTATTACAATTAACAATTATACTATAATAAAGTTAATGTCTGAATGATTGATAAAAGATAAGAAAAATAAAAACAAAAAAAATATAAAATTTATCATCTGACATATATACAATAGATTCCTTAGTTGGTAACTGAATGTTATGAGAACAGCAGGGGTTTATTAAACTCCAACAGATCGTAAAAATAAAATTTCATCTCATCAACTTGTTAAATAAATTGATATATTCAAGTACCTAATTAACAGCAATGTCATTTAATTCAATTTATGCCAATTTATTGTATTTTTTAGGAGATTCTCCTATAAATAAGAAACGGGTGGAGAGATAAAAAAAAAAAATTGGGTACATTATTGTCTGGTAGCTAATAAACATTAAATGAAATTTATTTGCTCTAAAAATAGCCAGGCATTTAGATATTATAATTAAAATTATATATTTGTTTAAATTTGACACTGGTGATAAAAACGAATGCGAGCTCTGGGGAAATTAATCCGTTCATTATTATTTTTTCGATTGATTAAATAGTCCTTTTTACAGAGCACACTAATACATACATACAAACTAAATAAAAGTTTGAGTATATATTTTATTGAACAATGATAATGATGATGATAATAATAACAATGTAAAAAGTATAGTAAGTAGTACGTAAAGTTACAAGTCAGACATGCAAGTAAAGCAAGTAAAACAAGTATTAAAGCAAATTAGTATAGTGTTAACCCTCGCTGACACTGACATCAAGTACAATAGCTACAAAATAACTCGCTATAGATAATACCGACGCATATTATATAAATATAGATATAGATAGGTCATGTGACATGAGAAACCAATAACAAAAAAAAAAAAGAAAAAGAAATTTCTTGGAGAATCTTACTGAAATAGTAGTATAGCTAAAGAGTGGAGGATCACGCAACGATTAAATAATGAAGACCCTGAATAAACCTCCTATTCTATTAATGTTAACCGGATGTGTCGTTGACAGGAGAAAAACTACTGTCCAGATGACAGACACACTAACAACCAGTTAAAGTTAAACTTTAAACCATAACTTATTTCCCCAAAGCTTTGTTCAAGGTCTCACAAATAATCAAGTAAATAAACAAATAGGTACAAGCTATTTATCGTTTTAATCACGCAAACAAATTTATTAAATAGTACATACATAGTGTTGAATTTAAAAATTATAAAAATAAAAAATGTCATCGAGTATTTAGCTGATAAACTTTTTTTAATTAATTATTTATAATTTAATCGACACTGAGTATATAAAATATAGTTTTAGTATTAGTAGTATGAGGCTCTAGGAAACTCTAGGATGATTAACGATATCTGAAGGCTGAAAGTTTCTGTTTCAAAGACGTAAAAATTAAATTTAGTATAACTGTGTAACTGTGAAACAATGAAATTCTCAACAAACTTTTGACTAAACATTGCAGTTAATGTTGTACGTCATGTATATAAGTATATCGATTGATATGGACTCTGACCTAACACTGACACACTTGGCGATCCCGAGACCGGCTGACCTCCGACCTCATGGCGTCTCTTTATCGATCATTTTCTATCATTGTTCTGTTTTTTATCACTATCATTATTATTTTTTGTCCTTTTTTTCTTTTTTAACACAATTTCAATCTACTATAACCAAATCTTGATAATAAATATAGTTAAATATTATATTATTGTATTAAAATTTTAGCCCATTAACATGCGGGTCGCCGACGATGTTAGAATCCTGGGGATCTGCGCGAATCGGAACGCCACCACCATCAACAATAGCTCCATTACCATTGCCAGCGAGTAACAGCAGCCATGGATTGTCAACAGGCCTTGGAGCTACAACTCGTCCAACAACAACAACGACTGTTGCTACCGCGCCAATCGCCAGCCCCGAAGGAGTAAGCGACGTCAGTAAATCTTATATATAATAATAAACAAAAACAACGGAATTTTCAACAGATTTCACCAAAGTCTGGTATCTGGGATGGCACGAATTGCTCACCAGGAAACGGTAATGATGGACCGTCAAGAAGTGTATCACATGCTGCAAGTCTGGATGCCATTTCAAGGAGGATGGTCAAGTCCGACATGTCACGAATACCATGTAGGAGTCTCACTTGCAGTGTTCGTAAGTCCCCTGTGTGTCTTCCTTTCGTAATAATCCTACATATCCTATATATACTACATATATTCATATGTCTATAAAAGGTATATTTCCTGTTTAAGTATTATAATGTTGTTAATATGTGGGCTTGTGATGATGATCTTTGTTACCGTAGTCGTCACGATCCTTCTCGTTTCGTATTCGATGTCACCTATTTTTATTTTTCTTCCCTTTTTTTTTCTTTTTCTTTTTCTTTTTTGTTTTCTCTATCCAGTGTCACTTTCCCTTTGTTTGTATTTGTATTTGTTATTATTGTAAACATTACCGCTTATTAATTTCAGGTAGTAAGTAAAAATAGATAAAATTATAACTATATTGTCAACAAATCTAGAGGTCACTTTTTTATCATGTTTTCCTGATAACAATTCTAGCCTTGAACGATATATGGAAATGTATCTATCTCTTTTTTTTTTTTTTTCTTTTTTTTTTCATTTTCAATCTCAATTAAATTGGAAAACAGAAATTTTTAATTTTTTAATTACAAATTGTAGTTTTGCTATCATTATTTTTCTTTAACGTATAAAGAGTTACTCGAAAATAATTTTAAATAATAATTATTATTATAATATCAATTTATATTAGTAGTTTTGATGAGGAATAAATAAGCGGTAATAAAACTGTGTATCGTTAAATCAAGTGGTGTAAAACGTTAATATAAATAAACAGCAATAGATATTATGGTGTTATTGTAGAAAAATTAAAAAAAAACAAAAAAAATTTAAAATCGGTATAAATCTAGGGTGACCTCGAATCGATTTTAGAAAATAGCAAAAAAATAAAAAATAGTAAACTGGATTTTATAAGACTAAATAAATAAAAGTAGGATCTCGATTAAAATTGAATGAAAACTGAGATAAAATATTCTAGTACCTAATCGAGGAAGTGAATGCGCAACCGGGCTCGAGCGGTGGCCAGCAACGGTCGATAATCTCATGGAAGGTAAAAATTATAAACACAAAACAAAATCGACACAATTAATAAATAAATACTAAACTATCCAATAAATTTACATTCGATTCAATAACAATTTTATCACTTTTATTTTTTTAATTCCAAGTAACAAATTGCTAAACAATATATTAAAAAAAAAAAAAAAACTACCCTTGTTTTATATATATATATATATATATATATATATTTCTATTGTAAACTCGATACTATAGAATCGCGTGTCGGTAAATTACCATCGACTGCACTTTTACATTCCTTCGTTTTATTATCAACGTACAGGGTAACTTAATCCTACGCAGGCTTTTATAGTACAATTTTTTTTACAATTATTTTATTATCGCTCAACTTGAAAATTTAATTAATTTTAATATTAACGATCAATATCTAACAAATTATTTTTTGTACAGAAAAATTTACACTATTAATATTAATTATTTATTGTAAATTTATTTACTTAGATATCTGCAGGATAAAAAAGCTTTAGGCAAAAAATTTTTACCATCCTACAGATCTTCAATCATTGTATTATAAACCATGTATTGTAATGATAATAATAATTATAATAATAATAATAACAATAATAAAAATTAAAAAAAAATTTATCACTGGATGCAGCTTATAGAGAACGACATTAACACTGGCCACCACTAATTAAATAATAATATACGCTTTATACATAAATAAAGCCAAATAACAGCCTACTGTAGTGTAGATGCCTTTTTTCCTTATTTGTTTTATGTTAAATTATTACTGAGACTATCAGAGAAAAAAAAATTAATAATTGAAATGATTTCAGCAACAAAGCACTCTAAAATATTTCCTGGAGTGGCGTCAGAGAGTGATTTGCAGCGATGGCGAGCTTCAAAAGAAAGAAAATCCCCGTCTCTTAGTCAAATGGGATCAGATTCTGTTAAACACAAAGTAAGTAAGTCATATGTTAGCAATGTTAGTAATATATAAACAGAATAGAGCTGATTCTTTTTTTAACACAATTCAGCTAGTCTACAATTAAATATAGACATACCCCGGTCGTCTATTATTGTCATTGTTTTTTCTTTGCCATTGATTAATTAATTCCCTCCTACTTGATGTGAGTAAATTAAAACTTTCATCAGTGAATAAACTTTTTAATTAGTTAAATTTAACTATACAATTAGCTGTTAAATATACATAATTTTGTAAGATTTAAAAATTCAACCACAGAAATTATGACAATCCCATTTATTGTTATCTTTTTTTTTTTTTTTTTTTTTAAACTTAATCTTTTGTGTATCTTGTTGTATACAATCAGCCCTTATTGTTGTTCTCTTGTGACACAGTTCTCTCTTCAGGACAACGGCTCGGCTAAGTACTTTCAAGGAGTCATGCATACACCTAATATGGGAGAAAAAGTTGCTCAAGTAAGTTTTTAAGTTTTTATTTTCTTAAAAACAATAAAATTACGTACATTAATTAATAAATTTATTGAATTAGAAAAAAAAAATAATATTAATTGCTGGAAATTTTAAATCTAAATTCTGAATAATTACCAACAACTAATCCACGTGATAAAAGCACATAAAAGTTATATTATCTATTATATCACGAGATTCATGAGTAGTTGATGGATTTTGAGTTTAATGTAGCATTTAGTCTGCTAAATCTTCCGGAAGATTTCGATCAGAGTGAAAAATAAAATAAAGTTAAGTGACTCGGTGAACTATACAACGTTATGATTATTATTATTATTATTATTATTACTATTTTTTTTTCTTGGAATAAATTGTGCGACTAACAAGTCGTGGTGCATCATGGGTATGTGTCATATCGGTATCATGTATAAATGTATGGGTATATATAGTATAGTAAGGTACATACTACATATTATAGAGGATAAAACGAATGGGGTGGTTTAGGGGAGGGTTCGTAGCGGCTCCGGCAGACAGCGTATCAGTCAGTGCTGCAGTGTCCGCCGATTCGTGCGGTGGCTCACACACTCCTCTTATCTGTTTATCTATCTATCTATTTTACACTATTTTCCATTATTTCTTACTCGATCTATTTATTTATTTATTTATTTATTTATTTATTGTTTATAATTTCGTAACTGTTATCAGTGACAATAAATCACTCTCGGAACCAAAAATAACAAATATTCTTCAAACATTTTCATCTCTCTCATTTTTATTGTTATTATTTTGTTTAATTAAAATCCAGCTGATTAATGTCAAAGCTCGTTATATTTTTCTTTGATGTCGACACGATCGAATAAAAGTCTCAAGTTTTTTTTTAATTTACCAATTTGTCACGTGCTAAAAAAAAAAAAAAATAAAAAAAACAATAAAAACAATTAATCGATAAATTTGATTGATTATTTTTTTGATACTCAACGATCAAATCAACGTTAAATAACAAATGATGAAAAAAATAATGGGTTTGTTTGTCAGCTTTACTCTCTTCCTGACCTGTTTCGATAACTGCAGATAAACTTGAAGGCTTTGGCTCTAGGCTAGGATCCATGCCAAACCCATTGATCTCAACTACAGAGATTTTGTCACCTAGATTGTCTTTTTATTGTTATATTTTTTTTTTTTTAATTTTTTTTATTCAAGTGGTAAAAACCTTTGAAATATGTAGTTAATATTGTTGCTAATAGCGACGTTGATCAATGCTTTGCGTCCTTGTGTCGTTATTTTACACACAATATTTATGTATCCAGACCTAGGTCTCAACTATTATTATGCATATAAATATTTTATTTTATTTTATTTAATATATTGACTTTAAATAAAATAAATAAATATTGGTAAATAAAATTATTTTTTTATCGTTTAAACACGTGCGATAACCTCTTAGTGAGTTTTGAAAAAAATTTATCCAGTAAAAATTTATTATTATTATTATTATTATTTAATATTATAAAATGTTGAGAAAACAATTTTTAAGATTGAATTTTTTTTTCGAAACAATTTTGCTGCGTTATTTAAAAATCTAAAAGTTAATAAAAAATTAATAGTATTTTTAAAAATTTTAGGTAGAATAAAATAGTGTAAATAATAATAAATAAAAAAAAAAAAAAAAAAAAAAAAAAAAAATGAAAAAACTTTAAATATCAAATGAGAGTTAAATGAGCGATGAAGAATTAAGACGGTTGACAGAGGGTGGAAAATTAACTAACAGCTGGGCCAGTTGGCCTGACTGGAAACTAAAAGAGGAAGAAGTTGATCAGGAATCGTGCGATTACGACGATTACCCCGAATACGAGTACAATCAGTGTCAGGCAAATAGTGGTATTGGTAGTGGTAGTGGTAGTGATAGTGCCAGTGGTAAAGTTGAAAAAAAAAAACTTATTGTTGACGAGAGCAAAGGCTTATGTGAACTGGCGCCTCATAGTGCGATGAACGCGGGGGCTGGTCGGGTGTCTGACCCCCCCAGCCCCCAGGACATTAGACTTTTGCATGAGTTTGTCGAAGATATCGAAAAACATGACGAACATTGTAAACCACGTGAAGAGAGGGTAAGCCAATTAGTCAGTTAGACACTGAAAAAAAATATTATAATTAGTATTAAAAAACTCATTTTAAACTTTTTTATAGTTTAAATTATTAAATTAAATTATAGACATTTATTTTTAGATTATTTTTAATTTTTGAAATGATAAAAAATTAACCTTTTTGTTGTAAAATAAATACCGGTCAAGTTGTTGTACTCCCACTGGGATTTCAATGAATATTTAAATTAAAATCGATTTTTATTAAAATGGCATTAATATAGACAGATAGGCGATTATCATCGGGTGTATTTATTAACAATTGACTTAGTATTGATTTTCTCTGACAATAATAGTATTATTCGAACTTTAATCATTAATTTAAATAATATTGTAAATTAAAAATTCTAATATTTTTAAAAACAAAGGTATTGTTAAAAGAAATTAGTATCGAATCAATTAATAATAAAAAATACATAGTACAATTATAAATAAATTCTATAATCTGAATAGTTGTTGTTAAATAAATATGTAATTTTTAAAAATGAGAAAAAAAAATTATTTCGTCGTTTGTATTAGGTATAAAAGAGCGTCTAATTAATAAGGAAATAGTAAAAGAAGAATAAAAAATAATAAAAATCTCAACGAGCTCTCATTTAGTAATCGTCCCAAATTCCGTCGCTTTTTAAACTTTTTTTATTTTTCTCTATTCACTAAAGCTCCAAAGTAGACCCTTACACAATCACAAAAATATATATATAGATGAAAACGAGTTATGTATATAAAATTTGAGTAGCGCTTGCGCATATCACTCTAGTTTCTGTTAGCAGTGCTCTCATTCGGTGGAATGGAACATATCAAAATCAATATAGGTTCTCTGAGCGCAGGTGGCGGTTTTTCCTCGTAGTTTCTGTCTAGGATTTACTCCAGAAACGGCGCAGTAGCTTTCATGCACGAGGTGTACTATCATCATCATCATCATCATCATCATCAATAAGTGTTATTATGTTCTTAGTCCAACTAAACAATAATCTGACAATTAAATATAATAACATCAAGATATCAGAATAACAATATTAAAAAATCCTCTGATATGCTGGCTAACAGGCTAATTTATATTCAAAAATTAACTATTTATTATTTAATGTTATTATTAGTTTATTCCTCTCTCTATTGTTTATAATTTTTTATAATTGTGATATAATAATATTTTTACAGTGAATTTTATATAAAAAATTTATGAAATGATATTTGTCAAATGTTTTGTGTATTAAAGTTAATTCAAAAGTTACGGCTCAGAAAAAGAGATCGGAAAAAAATTTTAAATAAAAATTAATATAATAATAATAATAATAATAATAATAATAATAATAATAATAATAACGCACAAAAATTAAAAAAAAAACCTGTCGACTGATTTGTAATGTCCATCCAATAATTATTATTGTTAATTTTTATTATTAAAACATAATTACACCTGACTACGCCTTAATGCCTTAGTTTACCTTTACGTGATTAATAAAAAAAAACAAGTCAAATACTAAAAATGATAAAATAAAAATTTAATATTATTAATATAAAAAAGGTGATGGTAATTATAATAATAATAACAATAAATCCAAAAGTAATTATAATTTAAAATTGATCTGTACGAGAAAAACAAGAACGTGGAGCGAAACAAGGAAAAACGTTGGGGGTGGTGTGACCAGGGGAGCAAAAGAGTCGGAAATACCGGTGTATCTGATGATGAACAAGAGGCCTCTAATAACTATTTAATTGAAACGATTGATCGTTTACCGCCACCAGTTGTAATTCGCAGAAAGAAATTCCCGGGAGCAGCCGGAGAAAATCGTGTCATTGGTAAATATTCATACAACAGACCGACCTCAGACACCACCAGCGACTCTGCCGGTTCAGATCTTGCGAGGATAATTGAGACTGACCGTATTAATTATAAAAATCCTTCAAATGTATTTAATAAATTACGGGGATCGGTATCTTGCAATGGAGAACAACAAGTTGGATCCGCTTCAACGACATTTTCAAGTCGCTCTTCCTTGAATAACAAACAGGAACAAATACACCATAAAAATTCATCTGATCCGTCTGAACAGATAACAACAACAACAACAACACAAGATAAAAATCCGTTTATAACTACTACAGGACGAAAAAAAAGATACTCTCATCACTCTCATCATTCTTATCATTCTCATCATTCTCATCATTCATCTTCACTGACATCATCGACGTCCTCGTCGGTATCTTTATCGTTCGCGCTGTCAAAAAAATGGTCCTGTTTAAAATCATCCGGTGGGAAAAACGAACCAGGCATTGTAAAAACTCAAGTCCCGATTGAGGCTGAGGAAATATTTCCCGATGAGCTTGAATTTGAGTCTGAATCATTAGAAAAAATAAAAGATAAATTAAATAACGATAATAAATTTATTAATAATAATAATAATAATAATAATCAGAAGGGAAGTGTTATAAGGGAGACAATTTTTAGTATTGAGTGGCCTAAAAGATCATTTACCCATCCGTTGGGGAGAAAACTAGCAGCTTGGGGTCGCGAGAGTAAAAATTTGTTGGTAAAGTCGGTATCGTCAGCCAACACGTTTGTTCCAACGACAATGACGTGTATAAAGTCCCCAAGGGCCATGTCGGAGAACCTTCTGGGACAAAATGAGGAACCGATTATTACTAGCCGCACTGGTGACAATTCACCTCGTAGAATGTCTTCTTTGAGAAGCACTGATAGGTACGGGTTAACGAGAATCGAAATAGATCCTCCTGGGAATCCCAATTCCTACCAGGTATCCAAACAAAAGTGGACTAGTGTTAGAGTTAAAGGCGGAAGCACTAAAAGTCTTTTGATTGAGAATGGTGGTCCTCAAGTTAAAACCTCCGTCAACAAAGAGGTATTTAACTAATCTATATAATATAATATAATTTTTTTTTTTATCCATATGACAGGAAATAGAGAAGACCGCCCCCAGAGCTATCGTTTATCATTTATCAGTTTATTCATTACTATTTATCAGACCTGTAATTTTGTCTTGACTTATCCATTTAGTTTAATGTTTCAACTAACTTTAATAATAATATACATACATATATGTGTCAGAAAAAAAAAATTGATCAATAATGAATTTTTTTTTTTTTTTTTTTTTTTTTTTTTTTGATAAAAATAAAAACTTTAAACTTTTATTCTCGACTTTGGATAAACATCGCAATTTAAATTGCTCCAAAAATAACAAAATATAAATTATATAATTGTTTACAAGTTTTATTTTGTGGATTAAGTGCCCGGAGTTGGAATAAGTTTATGTTTTATTTAAAGACGCGTCAATAGAAATATTTGATGATTTTTATTTTTGTGATGATGAAAGTGAGAAATTATTATATGACTAGTGGCAAAATTTAAAGTTAAATTCTATTTTAGAATTAATAAGAAAAATAAATATAGAGAAATTTTAAGAGAACCAGCCTATGCTGGCTCTTGATAACAACTGTAACATTAATGCACTACTATAGAGGTTTATTATTATATTTTTTGACTTTTATTTTTATTTTCAACGATATATTATTAAACATAAAGCAAAGATGAAGATGAAGAGGAAGAAAAAGAAAAAGAAAAAGAAAAAGAAAAAGAAAAAAAAATAAAAAGAGAGTTAAATAAAATGTAAGAGGGAGAGGGAGAGAAAAGAGCTCAGCTCAACCAGGACCGACCTCGCTTTGGTGAACTCGTGGTCTTATGGTTTAGTTTACTCGCGTGTCTTTAAGCGCAAGTAGGTCTCGACAAACTTGGCAATAAAAAGTTGAATAAAAAGTGCAGCCTCAATCGTTTTTTTTTTTTTCTCCATATTTCTTATATTAAAAATTATATATATATATATATATATGTGTATAAACAATAACAATCAGAGAAAATCACAATAATATGTGTCACTCTTTGTTTGTTTTTATTTTTCCTTAATGATTAAAATTTAATTAAATATGTGAAAGAGGAAAAATTATTTTTATTAATTATTTGATTGTTGATAATGTATTTTAAGTTTTTCATTATGCCGGCTAAAATTTTACGTTCTTATTTTAGAAAATGCAATAAAAAACAAAAGTTTGGATCTACTTTGTCAACGGTATTATTTTATTATTTTATTATTTTATTTTTTATTGTTTGTAATTTAAATATATACTTATCTCACTGGAATTTATCATAAATTTATTAATATCGTCGTTTTTCAATGAATATTTGTATATTTTATTTAAATTAAATAGTTGGACGTAAAAAATAAGAATATTATGATAATTAAATTATATATTATTGACCAGCAATTAAATAAATAATAATATGACAGTAAGCTGTTGGTATTGGTATATAAATATACATATAAGTATAGAAGCTGAATGATTCAATAAAGTAGATGAGGGTGATGGAAAATAATACATTTAGACATATCCGTTTATGCAGACGTACAGTTTAGCATTTTTATCCATGTAAATAAATGTATATGTGTGTATTTATGTGTTTATAGTAGTAGGGTAGTTTTCTCTTGTAAGAGGGTGCGCGCCTGACCTACACCCGGTTATGCCTCTTACCCGTTACCCGTTACCCGTTACCCGTTACCCGTTACGAGTGATTATTTGAGCTCAGTGTACGATCAAACACCTGAGGCACAACATCGTGTTTAAGTTACTTAAAAATATTTTAATTGTTATTATTCAGTAAATAATAAACAAATGTTTTTAATAATCAATGGAAAATTCAAATAACCGGGCTAATAATTTTAGAAAAGAGGTTAAAAAATATAATAATAAATAATATATATAATTAATATAATAATATTAATGTTGATTAAATAATATGTCAACAGGTATTATCACTGGGCGCAGATGTACTGCCGGAATACAAATTACAGTCGCCACGTATCCACAAGTGGACGGTCCTACATTATTCACCATTTAAAGCCGTTTGGGATTGGATTATCCTACTTCTTGTTATGTACACAGCTATATTTACACCTTATGTTGCCGCTTTTTTGCTCAGTGAACCTGATTATAACAGCAGAAAGGCGAAAAAATACAGCGATGATCCCATTGTCATTATCGATCTTATTGGTAAAATTATTATTATTATCATCATTAATATTCATTTTTATAATTTAAATAATAATTATAATTTTTTTATTTTTGTTAAATAGTGGACGTAACATTTGTGATAGACATATTGATAAATTTTCGCACGACTTTTGTCAACACCAACGACGAAGTAGTATCCGGACCGTGGAAAATAGCCGTCCATTATCTTAGGGGATGGTTCATCATAGACCTGGTTGCTGCCATACCCTTTGACCTCCTCCTCTACGGCTACAACACTGACGAAGTAAATACATAAATATTTATTTTAAATATTAGATTTTGGTTTTTTTTTTTTTTTTTTTTTTTTTTTTTTTTTTTAATATAAATAATTCTCTTGTCCTCAACCCCTCTACTCCCCAACAGATTACAATTATTATTATTATTATTATTATTACTCAATTGATTTCATTATCACGTTTGTTATCAGTTTTAATGTGAGGCTAATAAGAGTAGTCTTTATACGATCGATACGATGGTGTCGTCGGTGCAATATCCCTTCAGTTAATAACTCTATTTATAGGCATTTTCATTTTATGATTTTATTAGTATATGTAATATCGTAGTAGTAGTAGTAGTAGTAGTAGTAGTAGTAGTAGTAGTATTACACGAGTTTAATTCTGACCTCACCACCTATTATTTTCAAATTTTGTCAATGATTCAATATAACTATACTGCTCTGTTATAAATTCTTTTAACCTTTCATTTAAAAGTGTTCAAGAAATAATTATTATAATTCTTTTTTTTTTTTTTTTACTATTCAAGCTGTAAGAGATCATTAAATATCTCCAGTGAATCACAAATAATTAAAAAAAAATAAATGGCAACTTTTATAAAAGAAAAAAAGTTTTCACTTAAAGATTAAAACTTAAAAAGAGCAGTATGTATTATGTAGGAAACTTCATATATATGAATAAAAATAGACCAGAGGACAGAGTAACAGAATGTGTGACTCCGAGGTTTTAAATCTCAATAATAATAATCTATTTATTTATTTATTTATTTATTTATAAATACAGTAGTTTAGAAAAAAAAAAAAAGAAAAGAAAAAAATAAAACACCAACATAAATAAAATTTAATTAACATTTCTGTAGCTCGGCTTGGATAAAGACGAGGTCAGTTTTACTAAATTCCATGGCAATAAGACTTATTATTAAAGCATATATATTTATTTTAAAAAATATATATGGTGTGGCGGTGTGACACCTATTAAATAAAGATATATATATAATAATATAATAATATCACCATATCATACTACTCGTTACACACATGTGTCTTTCTCTTCCTCGAATCTTTTTTTATCATAATTTAAATAACAAAATAGTATACTTAACTATACTATGTACATTATCTTAAAAAACTTTTAAACATTATCATTTGCTTTTTTTTTTAATAGATTCCCACGCAAAATTCTTAAATAAATAAATTGCAAGCTTAAATAGTTAATATTTAATATTTTATATATTTATCGGATATGCTAAATTAAAATTTGTTTATTTTAAACTACTTGATATCGATAAAATCATATTCGCTTACGACAACCATCGTCTGCTTATATACTCAATGCATCGTTTTCTTATCACTAAATCTTTTCTTTCTTTCTTAATATTATCAATTATCACTCAAAATTCATTCCATTATCCCATAATTGATTATTATTATTATTATTATTATTATTATTACGTGACCTAGATATTTCCTTATTACCTAGGTATATCCAATTATTCCTACAACAATTAATTATTACATTAGATTAAATGTGAACGTTTTTGAAATAGAATTGAAAAAATAAACAGAAAAAAAAATCACAAATAAAATTACACTTTAGAGCTTTGTAGATACTAAAGGCTTTAAATTTGTGTTTTAATCTTATTATTCACAAAACACTTGAAAAAATTAAAAAAAAAAAAAAAAAAAAAAACATGAGAAGAAAAGAAAAACAATAATTAAAGAGATTTTTTTTTTCTTTCTTAAAAAAAGCATTATTAAATAAAATAAAATGAAAATTTATTAAAATATAAATAAAAAATAAGTGGTTTATTTTCAGACAACGACACTGATGGGATTGTTAAAGACTGCGCGGCTGTTGCGATTAGTCAGAGTGGCGAGAAAAATAGATCGTTACAGTGAATATGGGGCGGCGGTTCTTCTTTTGCTTATGGCAACCTTTGCGTTGATCGCTCACTGGATGGCTTGCATCTGGTAAGACAATAAATAAAATAAAAAATAACAGATATAGTAGACTATTGATTTTTTTACTAGTAAATGATTAATCGATTAATCGTTATTCTATTCGAGGTATGCTATCGGAAATGCTGAAAGGCCGCTTTTGAAAAGTAAAGTTGGCTGGTTGGATATACTAGCAAATGACACTCATCAGTTCTATTATCACAACAACACTGGTGGACCCAGTATAAAGGTATTATAGTATTAAATACTTTTATTATAACAAATACTTATTTGTTTTTTTTTTTTTTTTTTTTTTTTTAATTACTGTTACAGAGTCGTTATATTACTGCTTTGTATTTTACCTTCAGTAGTCTTACCTCAGTAGGTTTTGGTAATGTCGCTCCAAATACGGATACCGAAAAAATTTTTACTATCGTCGTTATGTTAATTGGATGTAAGTATATTTATATGATAATAATAATAATTTTTTCTACTATAATAAATGAATAAATTTCAGCGCTTATGTATGCCAGTATTTTCGGAAATGTATCAGCAATAATACAACGACTGTACAGTGGAACAGCACGTTATCATACGCAAATGTTAAGAGTACGTGAGTTTATTAGATTTCATCAGATACCAAATCCTTTAAGACAACGACTGGAGGAATATTTTCAACATGCTTGGACTTACACGAACGGTATTGATATGAATAGCGTGCTAAAAGGGTTTCCAGAGTGCCTCCAGGCGGATATTTGTCTTCATCTTAACCGGCAACTACTCAACAACTGCAAAGCTTTTGAAAAGGCCAGTCCAGGCTGTTTAAGGTAAACTAAACACTCTAAACTCTAAACTTTTAATCGTATTAATTATATAATACTATATATATATATATATATATATATATATACGTTTACAGAGCACTGTCGCTCAAGTTCAAGACAACTCATGCTCCGCCTGGAGACACGTTGGTCCATCGTGGAGACGTTCTTACCTCTTTATATTTTATTTCCCGCGGTAGTATTGAAATTCTTAAAAACGATATAGTTATGGCTATATTGAATCCTCCTGACATATTTGGGGAAAATCCTTGTGAGCATCCAACCGTTGGAAAGTCTTCCTGCAACGTACGGGCACTTACTTACTGTGATTTACATAAAATACATCGAGATGATCTTTTAGATGTCCTTGCACTCTATCCGGAATTTCATCAGCATTTTATTGAAAATTTAGAGATAACATTCAACATGAGAGATGTAAGATAAACAATATAAATAATAACAATATTAATACATATTATTACAAGTTAAATTTATTTTTAGGATGAACAAGCAGGAGTTGATCCAATATCAGCAAGATTTCCCGTAAGCACTCCTACAGACATTGATGGAGATACAAGAAGATTTGCGTTCCGTCCTCCGCGTTATCGATTTGGCCCAGGTATTATTGGGGCTCCAAACACCCATCTAGTACCGACAGGTCGTCAAGATTCTTTCCAAGATGACCCTGATGACTAGTAAGCATATTTTCTCATTTTTAAGTTATAATAAACTAGAACGCAGTTTATTGACACGTTATTTTTTCTATTTAGCGACAAGTCAAGTGGCCACGGCATCTTGGAATTCAGTACCGACAAAGCAGGTCAAGATGTCACTCCAATGAACTTGGAGTTTGATGAACCTAAGCAACGAAGCTCGACCCTCAACTCCATCACTGGTAAACATTTCATTAATTATTCATTATTATTATTATTATTATTATCAGTTTAATTTAAATAAATATAAATATATATTATATGTATTTAATTGCAAGTTTCTTGCACGATAATAGTGTGTTAACAGTTTTGTTAAAATGACTTTTAAGTCGTTTATTTTGTTTAAATTTTGAGCTAGCGTGGGTCTGTCATTTTAGCAATCATCAATCATTTTTAAACGTTATTTTATTTAAATTATTTAAAACATGATCGCGTTTATTTCAACTTTAACATAAAACGTAAGTATTCGGTGTATACATATAAAACATAATTATTTTCGCGCTTTGCGTGTTAACATTACCAATTATTATTAATTATTATTACTATCATCAATAAATTAGTAGTAGATCCGATTGCTGTTGAATTACAATAAATTTGATCATCAATCGGATTTGTTTAAAAAATAAAAATGATATGATCGCGGTTTGATACGCGACTGAAAGTCGTGTTTTAAATTTTAACGCCTATCAAACCTGGTTGTTCAGGCATGCTAACTCACCTCAAGCGCAGTATACCGGATCTTCGCCAGCAGACAAAAATTCATCTACAGCCGCTAACTAGCCACGACTATTTGGCCAAACAAGGTAAAAATTAGCGTATGCATTAACAACAACAAAAAAATATATAATTTAAAAATTTATTTATTTATTTTATTATTATAATCATAATAATAATAATAGTAATAAATTGGGCACCGTCAACATCTGCATTTGCACTTACATCTTAATTTGTTATAAATTTAGTTTTATTATTAAAATCATAATAACAATAACAATAATCATAAGTAAATTAGTTCATTTAATAAACTGACAAATCATTTGTTGTTTGTTTTAAATGACAGCGACTACGCCACTGACGAGGCCGCCGCGAAAAAGTTCTACCACTGGTGATACAACTCACAGTATTATCCAACCAGTTTCAAATACATCTAGTCATTACACAACACCATCACCACCTCAGCAACAGCTTCAGCTTCTTCAGCAACATTCGCATGGTTAGAAATTTATAAATCATCAATTTTTTTTTAAGTATATAAATAATCAATATGTTTTTTTTTTTTTTATTAGGTGACTTTCAAAGTGGACCAGGACGGCCTCTGGAGGAAATAAATATCAGAATCGACGATCTGTCACGTCAGGTCTCTTCTCTGGAGCGAACAATGGCCGGAGATCTTAGATTAATTTTGGCGATGCTTCAGCAAACGCTGGACACATCAAAAGACAGCTCCAGTACGGACATGATGCCTGGTACAGCTCCAGCAGCCCCAATAACAACCATTAGATCATCCCGAGCACCCGCTTTAGCACAAAGATCTGCCAGCGAGCCACAGCCATCATCTTTGCCCGGTTCTTCCTCAACAAATGGAAATGGAGCAAAGATACAGTCCAGCGCCTCACACAGTCTCTTCCGGTAATTACTATTATTAATATTAACAATCATTGATTCAATAAAAGCCATTAAAAAAAAATTTATATTATATTAATAATAATAATAATAATAATAATAATAATTGTTATCGCATGTACCCCTTTTTTAATACGAGTATAATAGATGTCTTCTTCTTCTTCTTCTTGTTATTGTCCACCAACGAAAGCTTTCTTTCCAAATCCCTGGATCAATTGCATTTGATTTCGGCGCGTTTTGTTTTGGAAAATTTGGATAAGCTCCGAAGGTGACGTCATCTAATGAACTGAATAAATATAAATATAATACATATAATATTTATGTATGTATTGTGAGAAGCTAATATATACAATAATATCTATCTACATCTTCTAATTCTTCAGCTCGTAATACAATAGTTTAGAGCATCGTCACTTTTCTCCAATAATTAATTATAGTCATTTTATTTTTTTCAAATTTAATAATAAAATTTTTACTAAAAAATATTTTTATAAAATTATACATCTAAGGAGACAAGTGAGGTTGTTTTATAACTTGATTGAATATTTTAATTAGAAATTGTAATAATTAATAATACTTACTATTAATATAGAGGCGCATATACACATATCCACTGTAAATAAAGTCACCGGCTTGCTCGGGTATCGGCTAATGGCAGTAAATTATTGCTTGAGTAAAAATAAATAAAAACCTAGATAAATCAGGCAATTGTAATAAAAAATCGAAAAAAAAAAAAAAATCGAAAAAAAAAAAAAAAAAACAATTGTATAAAAATAAAGAAAAAGTAGAATTTATATTTTAAAATAAAATAAATATGATTGATTGATTGCCCGGGAATAGGCCACCAACTCGCGAACCAACCTCAACGTCATCGGGAACCTCACGACTTACATTAACATCAGACACATCAGCCCTAGCCACTGCCTTGCAGAGTGCCCTTAATGGTGGCTCGCGTATAGCCCCAACGAGGTCACAGAGTCAGCCTGTCGATTTAACGGGCCCACCAATCACCTCCCAAGCCCATCATCACCATCACCAGCTTCATGGATGGCACAGTCAGCCCGCAGCATTTAGACGCGGAGAATTTAGAACCGGGTACACTTGAATAAATATGTTTTTTTTTTTTTTTTTTTTTCTCATTATTTTCCTTATCATTTTATTTATAATTATCATCAATATTTAATATTAAATTATCATTTGTTTATTTATTTATTGTTTAGTTACAGTTCTTTTAATAAAAGATCAGAACCAGAGACTGAAGATCCGTGGACAGCGATACCAACAGGTGTAACCACTAGTGTTACAGTATCGGGAACTGGAAGTCTTCAACGACCAAGGTCCAGTGACTTGAGAAAAGATGCAAATGGAAAATCAGAAAACAGACTTGCTCAGCAAACTCCAGTGATAACATCATCATCATCATCATCATCATCATCAGCAGCAGCAGCAGCCGCAACCGCAACCGCAACCGCAACCGCATCAGAGATAAGACCTGAAACATCTCGTCAAACAAGCGAAGAAATGTCCTGGGAGTTTACTATCAACGAAGCCCCTATCGCCAGATTAGAGTCTCTAGACGAACTCGATCAAGATCGATCTTGATGTTTGATCAATTTCAGTAGTAGTAATAGTAGTTGTAGTATTATTATTATTATTATTATTATTATTATTACCAATAAAAGTAGTAGTAGTAGTAATAGTATTGTTACAACTATTCAATAGTGACAATGAAGTAGCGTCAGCATCAGAACTTGATGAGCTTGATTGTTGAAAATATTGCAACAATTCTTCTTCAGGTTCTTGTGAATTATTACCACCATTTAAATAATCATCCAATGCATCACTATCAATAGTAGTTAATTTATCATTTTTATTATTTATTAAAAAATCATCTGTCGTATTACTATTACTATCTTGTAAAGCACAAATTTGATCTTTAATTAAAATACTTGTAGTATCATCAACAATAACAGGAGTTGTTACAGTATTTATATTTGAATCATAAACACTGGAACGGCCATTAGATTTTATAATACGATTATTATCTATCAATAAATTATTATTATCACGGTATTTAACTATTTTAATAACATTATTATCATCAATAATATCAAGTTTTTTTATTTTTAAATTACCCGGTGAGACAACTGTTATTTTATTAGAACGTTGATGATTTGTATTTATTAATTTAGATGATAAAGATAATTTTGTATCATTATTATCATTATTTTTAATTATTATCAAACTATCTTTATCACCGTCAAGCTTAGGTTGTTTTTCAGGGCTTGTTTCATTATTAGTACGCGTTTGATCTAAACTAACACGTTTACGTGAATTTTTAATTGTTGTTATAGTTGAAGAATCATTAGGTGTACTACTTGTGCAAGATCTAACATTTAGCCCATTATTTAAGGGCTCAACAGACGTACGTCCAGCCGTATTATCACAGTTTAATTGTGGTGATACCGTACTAGCCTGACTAGCAGACCTCGATAATTTTCTAGACCGACTTGTGGTTACTAACGAAGATGATGGCGATGATTTAACTGATACAATTCCTGTTGAATTTGTCGTTTGCGGTGATTGAGACAAACTAGTTCTACTTTTTTTATATGATTTACCTATTGAATTTTTCACAGTATCACTTCCATTGCTTTCCTTTGACTGACTGACGATGGCTTCTGAATTTCGACTTTTTTGATCCCGTTGTTGAAGTTTTTTCTGTAATTGTAATTGAGCTTCACGAAGTTTTATTGGTTTACCACCTCCTACTGGTGTCGATGACTTCAAAGGTGTCTCTGTAACTAGATATATAAAATTATTAAAAATACATCCTCATCTCTTGATTTTTTTTTTTTTTTTTTATAAAATATAATACATACTTTTATTGGATGAATTTTGAACATCTCCAGAAGCACTGAGAATACAAACAGCTGCCAATGATCGAGTATCGACACACAGATTATCTACTAAATGACGAGCTAAAGCGCTTAACGATGTAAATTTATAACCTAATGTACTTTCAGCCCATTCACGAATTAACGTTGAAGCTGCTCCAAGCATTTCTTCGCTCATTATTTCTTCACAATCATCTTCATCCTACATTAATTAATTAATTAATAATAATTGTAATAACTATATTAATATATTAAAAATAATAATAATAATATTTACCGCAACACCAATTATAGAAGGAAGTGTTGGAGTGTCAAGCTTAATTCTTTTTCTCATTCCAGCGTAACAATAACGTGAATTACCACGAGTACCAAGCCTCCGTGGTCGTACTCGTGGATAAACTTGCTTCATTACTTTACCAAAATCAGCAGTTGACAGTGGCTTCATTGAATTTTTCATGCAAAAAACGCTATTTAAAAACAAAAAACATTTAATAATAATAATAATAATAATAATAATAATAATTTCTTTTCTCTTATTAATATATTATAATAGTAAAATTACACACTTGTATTCATCATAAACTTCTTGTTTTGGTAAAGAAACTTCAGGATCTTCTTCCAAATGTGTTTTAATCCACATTATCGTTTGATGAATTTCATAACGATTACCAAGAGGATTTAATGGTTGCCTCAATGGATCAACCGTACCACTGGGATTTGTCAATAATGCTGGCAATTTCAGGTACAACAATAACTTTTCATCTACCTTAAGCTGTTCGACTTGAAGATAAATTTCGTCAACTCGTAGTTTAGATTCCTCGCTGTAAAATATTTTCAAATAATTACAATAATAATAATAAGTATTATTAAAATGATAACAAACCTGATGCTATCCTCGATAAGATGACGTATTTTATCATTTTTAGCTGCCGATGACAATCCATGTGAATTGGTAGTTAATTTAGCAGCAATAATCTCTTGAAGATCGGGATGAAAACCATTGGACTGTCGTGAACTATTTGTACTGCGTTCACGGGTTATTGTAGATGAATGATCATCATTAATAATAATTAAATTATTTGATGATGGGGTTGTCGAAATTGGAGTTGGTGTTGAGGTAGTTGTAGTTGCCGTACTAGTTGTTGTTGTTGTTGTTGTTGTTGTTGTTGTTGTTGTTGTAGATGTTGTAGATGTTGCAGTATCGTAGTTTACATTGTCAATTTCTCCACAAATAACGTCATTAGATTCTTTTTTAATTTTCCTCGAGTCAAAGGCACCTTCTTCAACCGTCCGATGACTTTTATAATTATATTTTGCATGATTCGTGTTAGCGTTCATCGTATCCATCCAAAACCACCACTGCTACCACCTGCTGTTTAACCTTTTTTATCTTCTCCAGCTCCAATTATTAAATATCTAAATAAACAAATTTTTTTTTCTAATTATTATTATTATTATTATTAAATATTGATTTTATAGATATTTTTTATTATTATGATGATTTTTATTTTTAAATATTACGTCAAAGTTCAGTAAGTGACATTAGCGGCTTCAAGTCAACTATATTCATCCATTTTATAAATTTATAATTTATAACTTGTTGATAATTTCGATTTTTATTCTTCAATATTAATTATTAATATTAATAATGAAAAAAAAATAAAATTATAGAAGCTCCGATTGTTAAAACTTTAAAAACCGACTCGAGACTCGAGTTTTTGTTTTAATTTTTTATTATTCGATTATACTTACTCAATTTAAATATTTAATTATCACCACATTGTTGTAATCGATTATAATTATTAACCCGATTATGTATACAAAATTTTATATTAATTATTTAAAATTTAAACAGTTTATAGTTTTAACTAATAAAAAAAAAATAAAAATAAAAAAAAAAAAAAAAAAAAAAACAAATAATTAATTAAACCACGACTTTTAGAGCTAACACACGGGGCCGCCTTTTAATCCATTGGTGCGGTGGAGCCTCTTGTTGTCTATACCAGTCCATACCATGCATCATCAACCTATACACCAGCAAAAGCCAAAACTTGTTCTTACTTTTAATCACTTGAATCTAATATTTTGGTATTAATGTAATTACTCTTTCTATTAATAATTCATCACAATAAACAATTATTTTAATTTTAATAAAATAAAAAATTACATTTAAACTAGTTTTTTTTTCTCTCTTTCTCTTTCTCGAGTTTATTTTTCCAAATTCACTTTTTATTTTACTTTGTTTATACTACTTTGTCTTTTTCATATTCACTTTAGATTAAAACATTTATACATCTAATTAATATTAGATTTTAAACGAATTCAATTATTATTTTTCCGTGTTTTTCATTTAATTAATTTTTATTTTTCCTTCTCTCGGTTATTAAATATATGTACATACAGTGGACATCATCTCTTACCTCTCACACTCTCACACATCGTCGACTTGCTTTACTTGCTTACAGCTTACAGTAATATCCGTATTAATAAGTGACATATATATATATATATATATATCTGATGAGAATGTGTGTGATATTCTTTTCTTGTTTTCTATTTTCTACTACTGATGCTTTCTGCTATTTGCTGTTTTTAACGGTTGTACGTAGTTACGATGAAAATTACCGCCAGATGGAGCTAAATGTATCTTTTCAAAATAAATTTATTAATTTATTAAAAAATTTATTTTTTTAAATCAATTATTTATAATTAAATTTTATATTTATCCTATTCTAATTTTATTTATTTTATTCTTTAAATTTTATAATAAAATTCAAATTTTTAACAATCAAAAATTTATTATTTCAATTTTTATAAAATTCCCTAGACAATCTAGATTCTTTGTTTCTAATTTAAAATAAAAAAGTAGTTTTTCGGCTTGCACATGTTTGTACAAAAAAAAAGTTATAAATATGAAAAATAATTTATTTAACTAACAATCTTTTTAATTATTTCAAACAATATCAATATAAATAAATTTAAACACCAAGAATTATTATTCTGTAAGTAAAAAAAAATATTTATTAATAAATATAACCTTACTTTAAAATTGTATACGAGGATCGATAAGAATACGTATAGCTTGCGCTAATATAATTAATTTTTATTTACAGATTAATAAATAAAGATGTTTCATCAATTTAATATTGCCAAGCGTGCGCTTCTTGCCGCTCCACGTATGTATTATTCAACTCGTGCAGCACAAATGCCACTTATTAATAACAATAATAATAATAAACAAAATTGCAAAGAAGGAGATGAATTACATGGTTTTGTGGTAAATGAAATCAGCCGAATTGATGAAATGTATTTGGATGCAATACGTTTGACACACGTCAAAACTGGAGCACAATATCTTCATTTAAATCGAGACGATAGCAATAATGTTTTTTCAATAAATTTCCGTACAACTCCAATGGATTCTACGGGATTACCACATATTCTCGAGCACATGACATTGTGCGGAAGCAAACTTTATCCTGTACGAGATCCATTTATGAAAATGTTACGGCGTTCTCTGGCAACATTTATGAATGCAATGACCGGTCCTGATTACACCATGTATCCATTTTCAACCCAAAATCTAAAAGATTATCACAATTTACAGTCTATTTACACTGATGCGGTATTCAGACCCCGTTTAAGACAGCTTGATTTCAGCCAAGAGGGCTGGCGACTCGAGCACAGCGATTTAAATGACAAGAGTAGCCCGATAATTATAAAAGGAGTTGTTTTTAATGAAATGAAAGGAGTCTTTAATGAAAATCAGTCTATTTTTGGTGAAAAATTATTAAATAATATTCTACCAAGTCACACATACTCGGTATGCTCTGGTGGTTATCCATTGGACATTCCAAAGTTAACGTACGACGCGTTAAAAAATTTCCACGCCAAGTATTATCATCCTTCAAACACGAGAATTTATTCTTATGGTAACTTTGAGTTTCAGAATAATCTTAAATTTTTAAATGATAATTATCTGAATAATGTAGAAAAAATAAACGCAAGTATGTCTGCTGTACCATCTGAAATTCGCTGGACATCACCGAGGCGCAAGCATATAACTTGTAAGAATGATCCTCTTGCTCCGGATCCTAATCGGCAAAGCGCTTTTGCTATCGGATATCTCTGCAATGATATAACTGATTCACAAACTACCCTCGAGTTGAATATCTTAGCAGAGTTGCTTCTAAAAGGACCAACAGCGGCTTTTTACAAAAGTTTGATTGAGTCTAATTTATCATCAGGGTTTGGACCTTTTACTGGCTATGATCCGCAATGCAAGGACACTATTTTTGCAGTAAGTCTACAAGGAGTTAAATCAGACGATTTTGATGCTATTGAAAAGGTATTTGACCAAACAGTCGACAGTGTTATTGAATCTGGGTTTGAAAAAGATCACGTTCAAGCTGTCCTGCATGGTATGGAGATAAAAATAAAGCATCAAGTATCTAATTTTGGTATGAATTTATTGTTTGGAATCACACCGCTCTGGAATCATGATGGTAATTTAATAGAATCAATGAGGATAAATGGATTGATTAAAAATTTTAATGCTAAATTACAAGAGGATCCAAAGTATCTGAATAAACTTGTTGAAAAATATATTAAAAATAACAATCATCGTTTGGTGTTGACAATGTCACCGGACAGTAATTATCAAATAAATTTACAAAAAGAAGAAGACAAATTACTTGAAGAAAAATTAAAACAGTGTTCAAAAGATGAATTGGATAAAATTTATGACAATGGTTTAATATTACGCAAAGATCAAGAAAAAACAGAGAACTTTGAGGTGTTACCTACTTTAAAAATAAACGATTTAAAAGAAGATACTGATCGTTATATCACGGAGGATATATTTATTTCTAATGTACCACTTCAGTTATCTGTTCAACCAACCAATGGGATTTCTTATTATCGCGGTGTATTGAATATAAATAAACTGGATGATGATTTAAAGCAATTAATTCCATTGTTCAATACTGTTATTGCCAGAATGGGGACTAAAATTCACGATTACCGGAGCTTTGATCGCTTGTGTCAGTTAAAAACTGGAGGGTTACACTTTTCGAGTCACATTGCTGAGGAAAAAGACTCCATTGATAAGTATGAGGAAGGTATAGTTATCAGTTCATATTGTTTGGACCGCAATGCGAGTAACATGTGGGACTTGTGGAAGGAATTGTTTAACCAAGTTGACTTACAAGACATTAAACGGTTTGAAACTCTTGTTAAAATAGAAGCAAGCGATTTGTCAACTGGTATTGCCGATTACGGTCATGTTTATGCGATGAGCAGTGCTGCTAGTTTGATATCGCCTGTTGGTAAATTCAAAGAAAACATTTCTGGTCTTGAGTATGTTGGTCGGATGAAAAAAATAGCTCAGGTAAAAGAATTTCTACCGATTTTTAATAAAATAAAGTCTATTAAAGATAAAATTTTAAATAAATCAAATTTACGGACAGCTATTAACTTGTCTGGCAGTGATAATGAAAGAAAACAAATTATTAAAGGCTTGGAAGGATTTTATGATAGTCTTGATGGACAGCCGGGTGGTAATTCTATAAAATTAACTCATAGTAATTCATTATTATCCAGTAGCGATGCTTTAGAAAAAGGAATTCATTATATTATGCCGTATGATACTAATTATACGTCCAAAACATTGTTGACCGTGCCGTACAATCATCCAGACTATGCACCGTTGCGTGTTTTAGCGAAATTAATAAGTTCAGTCTATTTATTGCGTGAAGTAAGGGAAAAGGAGGGTGCTTATGGCTCTGGAGCAAATATCTCACCCGATGGAGTGTTTACTTTCTTTTCATTCCGTGATCCAAATAGTACCAAAACATTTGACACCTTTGATAATACTCACGAGTTTTTAATGAATTTTAATTTGAAACAAACTGACCTTGATGAATCAAAATTGGGAGTTTTTCAAAAAATAGACACGCCTGTTGCTCCCAGCGACCGGGGACTGAAGAAATTTTTGATGAATCTTACTGATGATGATGTACAAACTCAAAGGATTAGATTGAAAAATGTTACCAAGGAGGATATTATCAGAGTTGCTCAAAAGTATTTAAACCCTGGTGCTGATGATGTTAAAATTGGCAGAGCTATTATTGGACCGGCTAATACCAATTTAGTTGATAGAAAAACTCAAAATTGGAGAATTATTCAACAAGATTGTTAAACTATTATTATTGTCATTATTAAGTATAATTTTTTTTTTACAAAATATTTGTGTATAGAGATGTTAATATTGTAATATTGTTATTTGTTACAGAATAAAAAAAATGTTTCATGAATTTGAAAATTATTTTAAAGACTCTACAGACTTTTTTTATCAATATCAATGGCTTTTTAAGTACCCAATTACTAAAATTTTAATTGAAAATTGTTTAAATGAATTTCCGGATGATTGGCTGGATATTTTACAAAAATTATCCACTGAAGAATTGAATAAATTCGCAAATGGTGAATTAATAAACGAAAATTGGCCATCGTCGCTGATATCGTTTGTTAATAAATGTAAAACACTCAACAAATTGCCATCGCTGAAATTAAAATCCGGTTGTTGTCAACTTCCGAAAACATTCAAACTTGGATTGAGTGAAAAGAAACAGCATGAAATTTATTACCTTGCTGAATTAATTAACGATAAATGCTTGAAACATAATGTACGGAAGATTGTGGATTTTGGAGCTGGTTTGGTAAGTTTAATTAATGTTTTTAAATTCCTCAAATTTTTATATACAATTTTTTTTTTCCAGGGTTACATTGGACAATTATTAAATTATTCATATGGCTATGAGGTAATCGGGTTAGAATCGAGTTTAAACAATATTAAAATAGCTGAAAAGAGACAAAATTTATTATATCCAGACTCTTTAAATAAAGTAAAATTTTTTCATGTTAAAGTATTAACTAATAATAATGATTATTCAGAAATTGAAAGTACAATTAAAAATTTAACAAACGATAAAGAATTTTGTCTTATTGGTTTACATGCATGCGCGGATTTAAGTGTCAATGCCAGTAAATTATTTTCAATTATTCCAACAGCTAAATTATTAATAATGGTTTCTTGTTGTTATCACAAGTTGGAAGAGACAGATAATGAAACCTTGATCAATTTTCCCGTGTCACAAAATCTAAAATGTATTACTGACAATGATAGGTATAAAGAAATTTTACGTAGACCTTTTTTAAGACTCGCTTGTCAGGAACCAGCCAAACGGTGGGATAACATGTCTAAGGATTTACATGACAAACATGCATTCTATGTTTTATCACGCGCAGTTATCGAGTTATTTACTCATCAAAGTAAATTTAAATTAAATATACGAATTTTTTTATTTATTTATTTATTTATTAATGGAAAACTTTATATTTTAGATAATATAAAATTAACAAAGTGTGTCAGGAAAGCAACAAGAAAATCTCAGTGTAAAAATTTTGAAACTTATCTGCAAGACACATTGGAGCGATATTATTTCAATGGAAATAAAATGTCGGATGATGAAGAATTTAAAAGTAATATTAAAAATCTATGGAAGTTTAATGAATCAAAATTAAGTATTGTAGAAATTTACACTGGATTACAATTATTATTACAAGCCCCAGCGGAATCATTGGTTTTATATGATCGGTATTATTGGTTAATTGAGCAAAATTACTCAGCAGAAATAATCGCCGTTCTAAGTAATATCATTTCTCCAAGATGTTATGCTACTGTTGCTGTTAAATGACATGTAATTATTATCGAGCGTAAGGATGAATTTGTTGCTGTGAGGCGGCTTTTATGTTTGTTTTTATTGTACTTGGAGCTTTTCCCATTTGTCCAACTGAAAAATTAAAAAGTATTTTTTAAATAAGTAATTAATTAGATAATAAAAATTATGATACAAACCTTGGCCACCAGCTCCAGGTTGACTACCAGGTCTTCCAACCATCATATTTGAAGAACCAGGATTAACACCGGATTGAACCATTTGTACAGTCTCATTCTTTAAATAAATAATAAATTAAATTGAGATACAATAGCAGTGATAAATAATAATTATTATTATTATTAATATTTATAAATTAATTTTGATTATTAGATTAATTTTTTTAAACTTTCCGCTAAAAAAAATTGAAAATTCTCAAAAATCGAGAATTTTTTTTTTTTTTTTTTTTTTTTTTTTTTTTTTTTTTAATTAAAATAATCACCTTAAGTCCTTTTCCCAATCCAACAGCAGCAACTAATGCTTGAGTATCATTATTATTACTGGTTTGGGTTTGATTTGTCCGTGAAGTAGCTTCACTTTCCCATTCCTCTCGAGCTTTTTCAGCAATATCATAAACTTGAGTGATACATTTTGTGTATTGCGCTATTTGTTTCTGTAAAATAATTATTTATTAATTTCTATTGATCTTGAAATATTATTTGCAGCCTCTAACAGCTTACATTGCAGTCCTAGTAGACACAGAGGAGTTTAGCGTTTTAACAAAAAAATTTCAAACAAGTAATTATTACTTGAATTAATTTATATATTTATTTATTATTTATGAAAATAATAAAATAAACTTACTTGAGAAGCGTCAAAAGCTAAATTGGCAGCTTTGTGCTCCAATTGAATCATTTTTTGTTCAGCTTGGGGCTCTGGTTTTGTTCTTAAATAATTCGGTACCAAATCATGAGCAAATGTTGTGATTCTTCCTTCAGTCATTCTCATCAAATCGTCATCTTTTTCTGGGCTCAGTAATAACGGGAGTACTGTCAAGTTTCTTAAGTTTGGAGCTTTATCATGCGACAACAGCTTTGACAAACTTGTTAGCTAATTAAAAAATTATAAAATTTATTAAATTATTTAAATAAAGTAAAATAATTTTTCACTTACATGACCGGCAATTAATGCAAAATTATCAAGAAAAGTTGGCCAATTCAACGTTTCATACTCGTGTTCTAATTTAAACAACATTGCTGCTATTGAATTTTTTAAGTCATTCACTCGCATTATCATTGCTTCCAATGCTGTATTTAACATCTTTTCTTCGTTCTGCATTTTTTTTTTTTTTTTTTAATTGTTTTATAAACAACAATATTAATAAATAAATAAATAAATAAAAATTAACCTTAATTATATACTCTTGTATATATATAATAATATAATAATAAAATCTACTCTTTCAACTTTCAATTGACTGAACCGTCAACCGTCAGAGGGAGTTGCGCAATAACAGTAATTTTCCGAAACTATCCGAAGTAAATATTCCGAAGTTTATTGTTTATCCTGACGCATGATTGTGTACATAAATAATTTTGTCAATGAAATATGGAGTAAAGAATCTTTGTTATTTATTTAATAAATAAATAAATATGATTAATTTAATGAATAAATATAGGTAGTAATATTCTGGTAAAATATTTTATACGGTAATATTATTATTTAAAAAATATAACCTCATTATGGATCTCTTGTATACTGTCACTCGTAAATCATCAACAAAATCATTTTTCAACAATGAAAGGTAAGAATAAAAATAAAAATTGATAATATCTTATAAAATAATATTATTTAATCAGCCTTTTAGATGGAAATTGTTTATGTACAATATCAAGCCGCAATATTGCTGCTTATACAACAACCGTACTGTTTGATGATGTTAATGGAAAAACATGGGGTTCTCATATTTATGTTTGTGATATTAATATGCCAACTCATGCTCACAAGTTAGTTATTTTTTAAATATTATTTTTTGGATATTTATTTATGAGATTTTTTTTTTTTTTGTAACAGAGTCACTTCATTCCGATTTAATCCGATAACTGCCATCGAATGGGATTTATCGGGAGATAAGTTAGTAATAGCTGATCGTGCTGGCAATGTAGAATTATGGATGTTTAAAGAATACATTTTAAATGATTTAGTTTTAATTGGATCAGCATCATTTCCTGGAGAACACATTCTTGGTGCTGTTTGGTTTCATAATGGCAAAAAGGTACTGTTTATTTATTTTTTATTTTATCAAAATGATAATTGTATTTTATTTTATTTTAAATATTTTAACAGACGGCATTGGTCACTGAAAAAAAAGACAGTATTCATTATAATGAAAAATTTAACAATCTTCCATTTGCGCCTTCGGTACGTCAATTTGGTAGTAGAGCCGCAGAAGGTGTTTTAGTAGTATCAAGTACAGGAATGGTAGCTTCTGTTATGATAACCAAAGACCTACAAAATCCAGTATGTCACGCGACTGAAAGCTTGGGAAATATTCGTCAAAAAATAAAAAAAGTCGACATTTGTTACGGAAAAAATGGTCACTTTTTAATAGCCGTAACTAGTGGAATTTCTAGTTATCCAATAAGATGTTATCGCGTATTAGTTCGTAAAAGTTCTGATGATAAATGCAGCATAACATCACAAGCATTGCCAAGTTTTTTTCTACAAGACGGTGCATTGAAGGATAGCTGTACAGATATAACCCACATTAAATTTGTAGTACGTGAGGATGCTGATTCGTTGGTTGTTGCAGCAAGCGGTGAAACAGAGTCATTTGTTGACGTTTGGGAATTGCGTGAAAAATCTCAGCCTGTTCACAAATCATTTCAGCCGAAAAATTTAGAGTCTTTTAAAACAGTTGTCTGGCAACATCAATCACAGTATCGTTGTCAATCACCGGTAATAGCAATCGCAACGACAAAAGTCTCTATTGTAACTACACTACCACCACCAAGTTCTGTTATAATAGCTCTGGCTGATTCAACAATTCATTATTTGACACGTGATTCCTTGAAACAAGTCGCACTGTCGTCATTAAACATGGCCTCTCCGGCGTGTTGGCGCCAAGATGATCAACAGCAGCAGCAGCAGCAGCAGCAGCAGCAGCAGCAACAGCAGCAGCAGCAGCAGCAACAGCAGCAGCAACAGCAGCAGCAACAGCAGCAGCAACAGCAGCAACAGCAGCAGCAACAGCAGCAGCAACAGCAACAGCAACAGCAACAGCAACAGCAACAGCAACAACAACCATGTGCCAAATATTTAAAAACATCCGTAACAATATCACACATTGATATGTCCTGGCTGGGATTTGTATTGCTTGCTTGTGATACTCAGGGTAATATTTATGTTTACAGACTGATGCCCGATGGTGGTACGACAATTACTTTGAATTACGCTTGCACAATGCTGGAATACTGTTTAATCACCGGAACAGATTGGTTGGATTTATTGTTTTGCTTGAGATCGTCAATGATTGAAACTTTGTGTGAAAGATTTGATGCCTCGTTTAATCGTCAATCTCAACCAACTCAGCAATATCACTATATACAATTTTTGTGTATTAAAACATCACTTTACAGAATGTTAGTTACCGGTCAAAACAGAGCTGCTGATTTATCATCTTTATTAATGATACACAGCATTGCTACTGCATTTAAATCTCTGTTAAGACCGTCTGATTTAACGTCTTTGAATGAAAAAGGACCTGTTGAATGTTTGGCTGCTGTTATCAATGAAACAACTATTGATATTGATAAAGTTTTGTGCATACTAGATCCTAAAAAAGAATTTACTGTTGAACCGAGCACTTTACAATCATTGAGACAATTGATACAGTGGGTCGCTGATTTAACTCTTAATTTACTTGCTCGACTTCCTGAACAACGACTGCAAACCAAACCCGGTGGTGTAAGTATTTTTTTTTATTTAAAATTTATTAAATTTTATTAATAATTTTATTATTTACAGTATGAACTTTTGAAAGACTACAAAGCTTTAAATAATGTCAGAGAATTGTTGGTATTGATAAGAATTTGGGGATTATTGAGACCATCTTGCTTGCCAGTATTCTTTCGCAGTGCTGATAATCTTGATGTATTGGTATTATTGTTCCGCTTATTATCAAAACTGGTACAATCTAGTGGTGATACATCACGATTAGACGACGGTCTTATTGGTGAGTTTTTTATAATAATTATAATTGCATAGTTAAGTGGTTGATTATTCATTATTGTGGAAGTATTGGTTTGATAACTCAACCACTTCCTGGTGTTTATTTTATCATACTTAATTAATTATTTCGAGTTGCTTATTCGAGTTTCAACTTTTTAAATATAATAATGAACAAAAATACTATTAAACCTCGTTAATAAAAAAAAATATTGTGATGGATATTGTAATTAACAAACGCGATGATAATTATAAATTAAAATTGCCAGTTTTTCCATTAATTATTTGTGTAATTTTTTTCGGCTACTGGATTATTATTTGTCCACTTATTTGGGCGTTTATTTATTACAATTATCTTGATAAAAAAAATAAATATTTAATTTATATTTTTTGGCTAGTCGCTTTTATTATTTGGCTATTTATAAATTTAATATTAATTTTTCAAAGAATTATTAAAAATAACCGTGATAAAAAATTAGTTGTAAAAAATAGTGAATTAGAAATTTTAAAAAGTGACAATGAAGCTGATGATTATATTTCACGTGAATTAAATAGAAATTCAATAAAAGAATATTTAAAAATTGTAACTATTGAAACACCATCGCCGAAAGATGAAATTGTTGATTATGATAATAAATTTAATTTATCGCTCTCAAGTGAATCAATATCACCGCGAGAATTGTTTTTTCGTGATTTATATCGTAATGTTAAAGAGGATAAAAGAAATTGTAAAACGCGACCTGTTACTGTAGCTGAATATAAAAAAAAATTTAATTCTGGGGAAAAAAAATTATCCAAATCTGATAATAAAATAAATAAAATTGAAGAAAAATTAGATAGTGACAGTGATGAAAGAATACAATCTGAATTTTTTATCGCTCATGTTACCAATAATAAAATTGAAAAGTCTCAAGTTTTTATAAATATCAATACTGATGAAAATAAATAAAATATTTATAAAGTGATTTATAGTGAATAGAATAGTAATGAATTGATAATTTTTAGATGACTGTTGTTTACTACCAAATCAAATAATGATCCCACAATTACACCAAGCTAACAGTATAACAGCAATCGCATCTCCAGTGTTATTTTATCAAAGTCTTCCATTGCAATTAGAATTCAACACCGAGCCGGAACATTTGTTATTTGTACCAGAATTAAATCAAATTGAGGGGTGTATGCATAGTGGCCAAAGTGTTGATATTATTCGGCATGTTTATTTGGGTAAACAACCGCTTGTTGTTAAACAGTGTACCAGGTTAAATATTCACATTTATATTATACAGTATTAAGTATAGATTTTGATAATATATATTAATGATTTGATATAATTTAAAGATGCGGAGGAAAAGCTCAAGTACTAAATATGACTCGCACTGCTGCAATAAGAGCCTGGGACTTGCGTTGGGCACGGTCATGTCGCTGCGGTGGAATATGGAGGATACATAAAGTATCATCGTAATAATTTATTTATTATTACCATTTTTATTTTATAACTCATTAAAAATACATAATTGTAAAATCATCATCATCGTTTTTTTTTTTATTAATTAATAATTAATATTAAAATGCAACAAAGAATGAATTTTGTTTCAACTAATTTGTAACTAAAAAATTTAGTAAATTTAATAATTGTGATGATATTATTGTTGACGAAACGGATATTTAAAAAAAAAATGAAAATAAATTTATGATGATCAATGGCTTTCTCCTTTTTTTCCAGCTACACGCTTGAAATCTCCCATATTTGTTGTCACAATTGGTGAACCATAAATTGCTAAATGATTTATTTGGGTTGTTTCACAACCACCTTGATTATCTTTAATAAATATCTGTAAATTCATTACATTTTGAAATTTAACATAACGCAGCGGTACTGGAGACCCTTCTTCGAGATCTTTAGGTGTTAACCTGCATCAAAAATATTATAAATTAAATTAAAACTTAAAAGATATTTATAAAAAATTGTGCACTTATAGTTTTTCAAGTTTTTTTTACATGTGACAATTTTTTTTTTTTTTTTTTTTTTTAATTGATTAATTGAAATTTTTTCAATAAAAAATTTTGAAATGTCCAACTTTATTTTTATAAATTATTAATTATTTAAATAAAACTTACGTTAAATCTTGTATTGAAGTATTAATTTTTTTTTTTTTTTTTTTTAATTGATTAATTGAAATTTTTTCAATAAAAAATTTTGAAATGTCCAACTTTATTTTTATAAATTATTAATTATTTAAATAAAACTTACGTTAAATCTTGTATTGAAGTATTTGAATCAGCCATATCAAAATCAATAGTCCTCGGTTGGTTGATAAAGAGCTTTAAATTTTTAGGACCTTTATCAGTTGGGGCTTTTATTTTCAATGAATGAATTTTGACAGCTTGTCTGAATGTTATTGAAATAATCAACTGTTCGTCGCAATCGCTTTCAAGATAACCAGAACCTTCGGCAGTTAAACCGTGCTCTAAATTATGGTCGTCTGATTCATTCAGACATTCACATTGGCTCTTAATTATAAATGAGGATAAGTCCATCTGGAATAGAAAAAAAATATTATAAATTAAATTAGAAATTAGAAATAAAAATCCACACACGTTAGATATTTATTATTTATTAAAAATCCTTTTTAAAGATCGTAATTATAATCATTATTACTGTTGTGTCTGTAATAATACAAAAATAATGCAAGAATAATCATGCCAATGATATTATAATATAAATTATTAGTATTCCGTACATGTCCAGCAACAGCTTCAGTGTCGTCATCACCACCACCGCTGCCATAATGTTCAACTATTTTAGCTTCCAATACTGTTGCATTAGCACCCTCACACCTGTCAATTTTAGTCCGGTTACGATAAAATATAAATGTTGGCATCGAGTTGACATTCTGGCTAGCCGCTGTCTCAGCACACTTGTCAACATCTACTTTCAAAAATACTCCATTCGGATATTTCGTTGATAACTGCTGAAAGGCTGGAGCTATTCTCTGACACGGTCCACACCTGAACATTTTATATTTTAATTTTAATAATAATTTATCACAAAAAAATAATTTTTTAATTAATTTAATGAGAGGTTAAACTTACCAAGTTGCTGTAAAATCGACAATCACAAGTTTTGTCCCAGCACTGGCTAATTCAGTTTGGAAATCTCGGTCATGCTCCAATGCACGTACCAAACCCATTTTTATTATTGTTTTTTTTTTTAAATTATTAAACTTTGATTAAAAATATTCAATTTCAATGGTACTACTCTATACGTGATGATGCGGTTGATTGAATGACTGGCATATTCGTGTGGATGGGGGATATATATGGCATGCTATACATGCCTCCATCTGGTGTTGAAAATTTTATTTTTTCAAACCTCTTATTACCTAACTATGGTACACATGTCAAAATATTCCAGGCAGGTGGTGTTAAATAATTTTATTCAATTTATTATTTAATAATAATAATAATAATAACAATTTTATAAACAGTGTACCGATAACATTTTCTTTGCATGTTTCAGATTGTATAATCCTAATCATAAAATTGTCTTGGAAATTGTCAATAATGGAGATATATGAAAGAGATATATTTTATTAAAGGAAGAAAACTAAAGAAAAAATTTATCGAATTTTGTGATTATAACAAGATGAAACTCTACTATTTTAATTTAATAATGCAAATTTATGACAGTAAAAAAGTAAAATTATTGCTGAAAAAAAAAAAAAAAAAAAAAAAAAACAAGGATTTATTAAAAGTTTGGGGTCGAATTTTTCATAAACAACAGAGTTCTGAATATGAGTATACTTTATTATAATTCCTGTTGCCGACAACGACGACAAGTTATATATTCAATACTTAGAAACGGTTAAACCTCTTAGAGAAACTCAAGACAATATCACAATTGATGGAAAACTACTCTATTGTTGTATGAAATTAATAGTAGTAGTATAGATGTTATTGATTTGTTAAGTACTCATCAAGGACTATAAAACTTTTTTATTTATTTTAAAAATTTATTAATGCAATACATTTTAATTGCAATTCCAAATGAAGATTATGCAAAATTTATAATTTATTGTTACTTTTTTATCTTATTAAACTGACTATAAGACGGGCAGTAGAAAAGTCTTTTATTTGGTCAGACATCAATCATCAATCAAACAATCATAGTTATTAGATAACAATAAAAATAGAGTTTATTTATTTATTTATTTGTTGAATTGTGAAATCGTCTCGGTAATAATATGTTAAAAACGCGTTGAGGCGATATAAATTTAATTACCACTCGGTCTAGTTAAATAATAAAAAAAAAAAAAAAAAAAAAAAAAAAAAAAAAAATAAATTTTGTAAATATCTCGATCCGTGTAATAAATTTAAAGAAAGAGGATCGTGAATCACGGATTTATTAAGTTAAAAATAGAAACGAAACAATTTGAGAATTTTTCTAACTTATGATAGAAGAATCCAGCCTAAAAATGTCTTCTCACAAATAATATAACTTGTTTTTTTAATGAATTAAAGACCTTATACCTCATCCGTAAAAGGTAAACCATAAAATATTTAACATATATAACTGGCGTTCCTCTCTTTCTCTTATAAACTTTTGATCGAATAATTGAATTGAGCAGTCTCTGATTGAGACAACTCGCTGCTCTGAGTCTCTCTGCCTTTGGCCCACCAGATCGCGTCTCCATCCTCATTGTTCGCCGGTACTCACTCAGTGTTGCGGCATCCCGCGCGCGAATAACTTCTATTTTCATCGGATACTTGAGAGCTCTTTTTTTTTTTTTTTTTTTTTCTACTCTGTTAACTTTTAAATAAAAAATTGCTCTATTGCGGTTTATTGATAACATTATTAATCAATATTTTTGTAATATGAAATTAAATATCAGGTAAGAAAGGTGTAATTGTTTAATTTATAATAACATTGAAAAATATCAAATGTCAATAAGTAGTGAGAAGATATATGATAATGATAAATATCAATTTATAATATCCTGACGCTAATGCTGATATAGTTGATAGTTTGAAACTCACCTGATGCCAGTGGCCCTGAAGACGTTGTACTATTTTTAAATTAATTTACCTACTGGACCAACTGAGTTAACAACGAGTTTTTTTATACTCTTTTTTATTCTTTGTTTAATTATGTAAACAAATTATCGTATAAAAACAAACGTTATTATTACAACACTACAGTCAAAAGTGCAATAAAGATATTTTTTACTTTTTCAATGTTAATCTATTTATATATATATATATATATATATATATATATATATATATATATAGACATTGAATAGAAAACTATTCATTCGTTTATGTGTTTATAGTGACGTTATTGATGTCGAGTATAATCTCGAGCAATCATCATCATGTCAATTCCTCATACGGTTGTTGTAACTTGTAAACATCAATGCATCCTTGCACATTCTATATCATCTTGATCGTTTATCTATCGGCTAATTTAATAAGTAGGTATTATTAATCATCTCTTTTATTTCTATAAATTTTATCAATAATCTCAATTGAAATGTCTAGAGACATCCTGGAATAATGCTTACTGACAAATTAACCTTATAAATAATACCCTGTTGTCAATAAAATTTTCCTTTTATATTTTATATTATAATAATAAAATACACACTGACCATTTTTATCAATATTGATATAAAAAATTTTTTAATTTTTTATTTAACTTGATGATGTATTACGACAGAGACCCAAGGGTCCTAGGATATATCTTGATAAGCGATAACGTTCCATATCTATCGTGTCTCGTTAGTTTATAGTTTATCACTCCACCCACAAAACACCATTAAACCTGATCCTGATCTAAACTCTGTTGTTACTTATTTTTTCCATAATTTATTTTATTACTTGATTTAATAAATCACTTTTACTTTTACTTTTATTTTAATTATAAAAAAAAAAAAAAAAAGAAGAAAAAATAACTACTGTTTTATATAAATAGGTTTAGTGTCTTGTTGCCGTCGGCAATTTTAATTATCGAAAAAGGATTATTATATTGTTATAAATTATTAAAAAGTAGGTTGGTATTGTTACAGATTGAAATGGGGATTATCAGAAACAAGTCCTCATTACCGGCATTGTTACTCTACTGATCAAAATTCGAGAGCTAGTTTACCCGAGTTTATTTAATTATCAACCGACTATATATACTATTCCTCTCCGTATTAAAAATGAACGATACAAATGAGACTGAGGAAATGTGGGAGGATTATGATATTGAAGAGTCCTGGAATTATTATGATTGGTCGGAATTAGCTCCTGCACTTGTTATTTACTCTATTACTTTTTGTCTTGGATTGACTGGTCAGTATTTTTATATTTTTATATAAATGATAATAATAATAATTATTAATGATTTTTATAGGAAATATAGTTATAATAGCGTCAACATTATGCCCAAAATTACGTCCACTACCATCGACACCGACAAATATTTTTCTCGGTGGATTGGCCACCGCGGATCTTATTTTGATTATTTTCTGCATACCTGTAAAGGTAAAGAATAAAAAAAAAAAAAATGATTGCATGTGTGATATTTAAGTATATATATATATATATATGAAAGTAAGAGGGGGAAAGACCTGACTGAAAATAAAGTCCAAGTCCGTGCCAAATCCACAAGGTCTAAAATTAATGATATTACCAGAAAACCAGAGTTACCATGTGTTGACAGAAAACGGAAAACGTTTATACATATAGATATATATTTATATAATGGGTGTCGATTGAACGAATGCGTAAATGTTTTAAAACGTTTATTAAACTAAAACATCTTCATCTTGATATATTTTCTTAATGCAATCCGTATATGTATGAGATTACATTAGGTAGGTGCATTAAAGAGTACATTCACAAGATATTATTATTAAACGATTTAATGCTGCCGTCGGCTATTATTATTCCACTGGAATTTTTAACATTTTTATTATTATCATCATTATCATTTTTACTATATATATATATATATATACTTTTAAAATAATTAATTTTAAATCGGTCCCTGCGTGACACGTTTCCAAGTGAATAATTTTACTTAAATTGGATTCCATCAGGTTTCATATATACCCCGAATCGACCTAGACAGTATTCCAATTAGTTTTTTATAAATTTTAAAGTTTGTTTCCAATTTTCCGAAACGGCAAAAGACAATAAGAACTATACAAGATCAGGAATATATGTTCTGTATACAATCTGAAACTCGATATAATATTACTTTACTTTTTATTTTTTAAACTTTTTTCCGTTTATTTATTTACAAGAGTATGTATATTATTGCCATTGAACATATAAAATATATGTATTATAAAGATTGATGCGCGTTTATACCTAATACCAGGGAGATTTAAATTAAATCTCTTTGGACAATCTGTTATTATTATATGAGTTGTGGCTTTGTTTCTCTAAAGTTTAATTGGAACTTTTAATCTTTATTTTAACTAATTGAAAATATTCTTTTAGCTTAATTGATTTTGTTTTGTTGAAAAATTTTAACTTACGGGTTTTAAAATGAAAGGATAAATTTTTTAATAAAAATAATGAAAGCTTCTGGTAATTCATAAAAATTTTTTAATATAAATTTAAGAATAAAAATTTAATAAGAGTCGTGAAATTTCAATATGCAAAAATGTGTTTGTATAAAAATTGTAGAAAAAAAAAAAAAAAAAAAAAAAAAAAAAAAAAAAATGATTTGCCATAAAACAAATTGATTCATTTTCAGATTCCCGAGTTGGAATATTATATAGGTGTTTGGTGTCTTGTCTGTCTTTGAAGTGCTGAGGAAAAATATTTGCGAATCACTTCCACCTCAAAGCCTTTGTACGTGAGATGAATAGAACAAAGTATCTACTTTGAAAAAAATTACTCATTTTCTGATAAACTATCCGCGACAATAAAAGTAAAAGTTTTGTTCTTTCCTGTTTCCTCTGCTCACAAAATCGATCGTTGAATTTTCGAGGGTAATAAAATCATATATCTTTGCGTTAATTCACCGTTCGCGGCGTTGATTAAAAAATCCCAACCCAACTCAATAGATCAAGAGGGATTTAGAATTACAAAAGGGTCAGGTCGGATTAACAATCCTATTCAATATACCGATATACTCGATCACAATATCAGAATTAATAATATTTGATATTTGATACGTATCAATCGAGATAAATCTAATATTATTACTGCCTTAACTCAATCGGTTGGTAATAAATATTATACTATTGTATACTTATTGGACCACTGAAAGGTATTTTGATTGCATATTAAATATCATATCAGTGTCAATTTTTTTAACTTTTTAAATTTAAATTAAATAATTATCAGAAGCATTAGATTCTGTGAATAGTAATCATTAGATAGAATTTATCCGTTCGTTCGTTAGATAGTTAATAAACCGAGTAACGAGCGTCTTGACGTATTTTAACTTAATAACCGCCTCTCTCTGGTGCTCACAATTGACGACGACGACGAGCAGACAGCCCTCCACAATCCGCTATTTGAATTCATCCCAGGTACATCGCCCGTTATTTTATTATAACCCATATTCTTCCTAAATAATTAAATTTTTCTTCTCCTTGTTTTCATCCCTTTAATTCAACATTTTAAATTTAACATTTATTTAACTATAACCGCGAATTAATAACAGGTCAAGTGTAATTAATAAATATATTATATATGTATATTAGAGAATTTACGGTAATCGATGATAATTTTCTGGTCTAATAATCGTATTATACATATACTCGCCTTCCAATCTATATATAATACAAACCAATAAATACGTAATTAAATTCGGTGTACGTGTTTTAATGTAAACCCTTTAGGCACTTGTAATTACAAATTATTGACATGACCATTTATATGTGGCTTTAATTATTATTATTATTATTATTATTATTATTTATTTATTTATAGATAGCCAAATTATTTTCTTTTACTTGGACTATGGGAGCATTTATCTGCAAATCAGTACACTATGTTCAAAGTGTCGCTGCGATATCTTCAGTTCTTACACTCACAGCGATGTCTATTGAAAGGTAAATAAATGAAAAAATTAATTTTTATCATAGCTCATTTAAATCAATTGTACAGCATATATATTTAAAATCTGGGATAAACCAAAGTGAGCTGTTGTCACCGATAATACAAAATTCAACGTGTGAATTAAGTGTGTACAAGTTGTCAATTTATATTCATGAGTTGGTTGATGGTGACACGAGTGCACCAGGTATACCCACAGTGTACCTAACACCCCAGAGAATTCACTCCGATCCAAACGTCCGGCGCATTTTACTTTTTTTATTTTTTACAATTCTATCAAAACTTTATTCAATCTTTTAATCCTGTGTTTCTTTTTTTTTGAAATTTTTATATCATCAAAAATGAATGTTTTACTGTAGATAAAAAATGAAATTGATCTCGGTTTTTTTTTTTAAATAAAATCTCGGACTTTTGATTGGTAGAAAAATTTAACCCTAGAGTATAAGATATAATACAGTAAATATCTTTTTTTTATTTTTTTATGAATTTATTTTGTCCCAATTGTACTATAAAGATAGATAATATAGAGCGTACACCGAAAAGGTTTAAACTTTCGACTATCCCCAGATCCCAATTGTTAGGCCTTTATGAGTTATTATATATAAATCAATATTATCAAATTGAAATCCAGGTTATATCAAGCGTCTCAATTGTATATTTGATCTTGACATTATTATTAATCAAAGGCAATTCCTTATTGTCAGATATTACGCAATAGTACATCCGATGAGAGCTCATTACACTTGCACCATCAGCCAAGCAAGACGGATTGTGATTGCCACTTGGACCGCATCATTTTTTTTGGCCATTCCAATAATACTTACTCAAGTATGTAAATAAAAAATAATAATAATAATAATAATAATAATAATTATTTTTTAATAACTTGTAATTAAATGTTGTCAGATTCATAAGCCAGTGGGAGTTCGGGTTCCGTCTTTTTGGTGCGTACGTGACTCGGATTCTCAACTCCTCTGGCGGATACACGAGCTTTACATGCTCCTGTTAGTGTTGGTGATTCCCCTCGCGGTTATGGGGTTTTGCTACACCGCTATATGCTGGGAAATTTGGCGCGTTATGAACCGAAGATATCACATGACGTCCAGATCTGCGTCAGTATTTATTATTTTTACTATCTTATATTTAATATATACACTCTGTCTGACACCTCAGTATAAACCATATATTTACCACATATCTACATGATATTTTATACCCCCATATACTCTATCAGATAGACAAGCTAATAAATTTAACAGAGTAAGGAATTAGTTTTTTTTTTTTTTTTTTTTTTTTTTTTTTCACTAAGTGGATTAGCTTTTCAAACTTTTCCGATAGACAATAAAGACTATCTGAAAAAAAAAAAAAAAAAAAATCACAAATGATTTAGATCTCTTGATTTTTCTTTTAGACTTATAAATATGATTTATATACAAGTAATAATGTAATATATGTGCTGCTGATATTATGTTAAACTTTATTCAGGATAATAGTCTCAAATCCCGCGTTTTACCGGTTATAAAAGTTAACTATATCGCACTAGCAAACTAGCAAACTAGCAAATCAGTTGAGCTCTTTGACCTTAATATTTTTTATTATAATTTTTATTTTATTGGCAATTCAAAAAATTACACCCGATGATAATAAACAATTTCTGACATAGACCTTTGTAAAATTTATTGACATTTAATTTATCTTTTTTTAATTTCATAAATTTAACACCTGATCATAAAATTGAAATAATTGTTGATCTAAAAAAAAAAAAAAACAAAAGTTTATTTATGATAAATTTATTGGGTGTATCTAACAAGTCAATTGCTGTAAAGTTTATTAGAATTGGTAAGTGCATAAAATATAGATAAAGTGTAATGTAAACAATTGTGCAGAGTAATCTAGTAGACAATGATGATAATTCGTAGGCAATACCCGTATATGCATTTACTAATAAATTAGCGCAATAGAGATAGGGAGAGAAATAGAGGAATAGAAGAAGAGAGGAAGAGAGGAAGAGAGGAAGAGAGAAATAGGGATAGGGGCTGTTATAAGGATTACCGTATTTTGAACATATGATCAACAGATAACATGAAAAGCCACTCGAGATTAAATAAATTTGCGTTGGTATAGCATATAGAGTCGGTAAACATGCACCACCAATACTCCTATAAGCCTATATATATATAATATATACTAAATTTTATCGTCATCCTTGTAACATATATTTGTATATTTTTTTTTCTCCCCTCAAAAACCCCAATCCGATATTATTTGAATAGTCTAAATTTTTTTCGTTTCTCTGAATAAATTCTTTAGATTTTTTTTTTAATATTGGAGTAGTTTCGAGGAGACGAATGTGCTTTTTTGCTGACTGTGATATTTTTACAGATTGAGTCCAACGATACCCTCAAATAATAGAGAGTGTATTCTTATGACAGACAGGGGACGAGAAAGCTCACGGCAGTCTAGAACCAAGCGTGGAAGTACCAGAACTGAGGGTGAATCCAGGACCATTAAACAGGTTTTTTTATTTTATTTTTTTTTTTTTTTTTTTTTTTTTTTCCCCTAAAAACATTTCAATGTTAATTATTTTGAATTATTGCATTATCTCTATTGAGTTTTCTTTAAGAAATATTAGTTGGTTTTTATTATTAGATAAGAAACTCGATAATTTAACGAGATAATCTGAACCCAGAGTGGATAATTTAAATGACAGAGTTGAAAGATAAATTAAATCGATAATACTGGTGGTTAATTTTTATATATTAATTTAAAAAATTTATGATTTTAAGTGAATAATAAATAAATAATTTATTCAGGTGGTAAAGATGCTGGTAGCTGTGGTAGTCCTGTTTGCAATCTGCTGGAGCCCACTGTTAATTGACAACGTTCTTACAGCGTACGAGTACCTTCCGCGGGTTAAACATGGCCCTATAAAGCACATGAATACCGCATTTCAGTTGATGGCCTACTTCAACAGGTATTATCTATATCTCTCTATCTTTCTATCTCCGTCGTCCCGCTAATTCCCACCCACCACCGGCGTCGGGTTTTGCTTTATTTTCAAAACCTTTTAATCCCTTAATTTCTCTTAAATAATTAAATAATCGATAACTCATTACCCAAGTTAATTATTTAATTAAAAATATTCAATTATCTCTATTATTTTAATAATATTTTATATTTAGCTGTATCAATCCAATAGTGTATGGATTCATGTCGAAACACTTTCGTGAGAGCTTTCTCGCAGCAGCTTACGGGGGCTGGTGGTGTTGTTGCCGAAGAAAAGTCTATACACCTCCGGTTAAACGGCACCCCAGCCTCAGTCAAACTAGAACTACAAGTGTTAGGTAATTACTCCTCATTTTCTTCCTTATAATATATTTTATTGCATAACTTTCATCAAATCAAACATTCTAATTAACTTAATATAAGTTTAAATGGTTTATACATATATGTATATGGACTTGAAAAGCGCAAACAATTGACTCAATTGACAAACTTGTTAAATAGTTGTCAGTCACTTTATGTTACGCGTGAATCGATTTTACAAACAATTATTTGTTTCAGGTGGGCATGACAGCTTCATTTATGCTATTAAACCATCAATTTCAATCTCTAGCTCCCAGTTTCCACTTTCCATTAAACAGTTTTCAACTACCTACATCAGATTAGAACACACACACACATTTTGTTAAATATTATAATTATCACTCCCAGCTTTAACATATCACAAATAATATTTTATATTTATTTAAATATAAATGTTCGTTGGTAAAACAAATATATTTAATCTATGGTTATAAAAATATCAATAATGTGTGTGTTAGTACTGGAGTAGGTTAGAGGAAGCATTTATTTGTTAAATTTTTAAATGTTTATATATTTAAGTGGATGAGTATATGTATCTGTGTATAAATTATTTATGTGAAAAAATAAATAAAATCTGTAAACACATTTTTTATTTATTAGTTTGGATTTGCGCTTGCAAAAATAGATTGTTTCGAGTTTTAGGCTAAAAAATATTGTTATAAATATTTATTGCTACGATTGAAAAAAAAAAAAAAAAAAAAGATAAATAAATCTTAAAATATGTATGGCAACGTAAACAGATTAAGAACAACTGGGTTATCACTATCAAATTATTTATGAAAATTTTTTGAAAAATTAGTCTACTGTTGTTATTATTTTTAAATTTATTTTATTGAGTGTATTATTAAAATATATATAATTTTATATTTTTCATCGAGCAGCTGTTTTTAGTCTTGTATAAAATATCAAACGACATCAGTATATAAAAATATTAAAAAGTATTAAAACTTTTAAGTAAGTAAACTCTATAAGTTATTTATTTATATGTATATATGAATAATCTCTGATAAGATATGATATTTATAAATATCGAATGTAACGTATTTGTAATTAGTATCGATTAAACCAGTGTCAGTGTTACTTGGATTTAATTTTTTTATCAAGTAACAATGAAAACTTCCTTGTTTAAAATAATTGGTGTATGTTGTTTTGTAATCGCATTAACAGTTGGTAAAAACTGCATAGAATTGTACCAAGAGGTAAACTTATATAATATAAAAAGAATTTATTTATTAAACTGCTTTTATATATGTCTATTAAAATGTTTATAATCTTTTGGACTTAAGTGTTCAGATGATAGTTTGTGCTGTAAAACGATTCCTACTATAGAAAAATTATCATCTCGAGCAGGAGAGCACTATGGAGTTGAGTGCCGCACAAATTGGATTATTGGTGCACCAAAAGATTCTAAAATTAAAAGTATATCAAGGTGCAGCCTTATACTGACCTCTGTTCCTGATATTGATGAAACCGATTGAAATTAATTGTTGTTAAAAATATTATTTAAATGTGAATTTGTAATTACAAAAAAATAAACAACAGTAATAATAATTGAATTGATTTTAAAATGTATATATAATATCAAAGCGTGAGAGTTCCAGAACGAATGGATAATTATCGCGGTTGAGAGTATTAGAGAATAAACTTTTAAACTTTTGACCTTTTCTACAATAATATTATCTAAATACTGGACTTGGACTTACGCCGCTATTATATCATATATTTACCGATTTATTTCAATAGGTCAACATTAATATAAATATATATATATCTGTACGTATATTTAAATTATTTAAAGCTTAAGAGTCAGAAGTATATACAGAGTAGGTATATATATTTAGTGACAATAATATAAATAAATTAACTGTGTGTTGAGTTTTTCAAACAGTAGCTAACCGTGAAATTTTAACTTTCAGACCCAACAATTGTCAAGTCGTGACACACTTTTTGACAAAATTTACTATACCATCAATAGGTCTTTAGATATTTCTTTTTAACAACTTAATCACTTTTTTTTTTTTTTTTTTTTTTTTTTTTTTTTAAAAATTCAACTAAATTAAAAAATTAAATTGATTTTATTTTATAAATATAATAAATATATTATTAGCAGGAATATTGATTGACCATATGTCATATAATTCAAAGAGAAGATTGACGTTAAATTTTCCGGCCATCTGACACACTACCCGTATACCCGATTAATAATAAAAAAAAAATAAAATATGTTATAGATGATTAATTAATATTGTATATATAGTTTTTTTTTTTTTTTTTTTTGAACAAATTACACAACTAGTGATGAAATCTACCGGTGTATTATACTTGAGGTGCTTGAGAAAGGATTTAAGTGAGTAAATTTAAGATAATTATGCTGTAGCAATTTATCAGCAAGTAAATTACAGACATTGTAAGCTCTTAAAATTTTAAAATTGTAGGGATAGGTATAGGAAAAAAAGGTCACGCGACTGCTGTCAGTGAAAAAGAGAAAAAAAAAATGAAAATGAGAAAACGTTTAAATAGAAAATGGAGTATTTTCTATTTAACTATTTAACTATTTAACTATTTTTAACTATTTAACTATTGGGCTGTCTGGTTTTTCTGGTAGCTGACATTCATATAGATATATAAACGTTTGTTGGAATGGCAACTGGCTCGGCAGGAGATTAACAAAATAACACGGTAAAAGTGACGACGGCTCGCGCACGCCAGGACCTTGCCAGAAGCGATACAGAGATATATGCTCCAAACGGAATTCGGAAGCAACTATGGGGGGTCCTTTGATGACTTACTGACTCAGTGACTTACTTTTAAAGAATTTACAGTAGTTGATCATTGAAATATTTTTACTAAATTTCACTTTCTGTATTTTATTTAATGTTTATTCCAAGATCTAAATAGAGAAAAATTTTTAAAAGTTACTAACTAAAAGAGTTAGATATTTTATATTTTTTTTATACCGTATAATAAATTTTCGAAAAAATAAAAAGAGAAAAAGAGAAAATAAGGGTAATAAAGGAAAAGTAGGGTGCTACCGTTTGGCCAATTTCTAGGGACGGTATAGTTGATAGCTTTGTTTTTTTACCTGGTGAAAAGTTGCCCTTGAGACGACAAAACGATTTGACACTATTGAGAATGAATTGTCCGAGTGACCCAGTGAGCAACATCTTTTCAAAATTATTCTTTTTTCTTCCATTTATCATACTCTAAATTTTTTTTTTTTTTTTTTTCTCATAACCAATAGAGCAATAGACTATTTTTCTAAAGAATAACAATAAACTAAAAATAAATAAATACAAATCTCTGTGTGCTTTTTATATTACTTTTTTTCTCAACTATTCTCCTAATTAAATTCACTTCTTAGAATGTATTAACATTTATTTTAAAATATTTTGTTTTAATTTATTGTATGTTTAAAAAAATTAAACTTCATTTTTTTCTTAATAAAAAAAACAGAAACAAGTTTTTGGCCAAGTATTTGTGAGTTGTAAAAAAAAAAAAGAAGAAAACATGCTTTCCAGTAAAAGTTTCTAGTCCTTACAAAAACTGTAAGTACTTGTATATATATATAATAGTATGAGCTAGCACATTGTAGATTGTAAATTACCTGAAGGGGCGAGGGTTCAAGGTCACTTACTTGGTGGTTGAAAGTCATTTTCATTGTACTAAAATATATCTGTGTAATGTAGATAAAATAATTTAAAACTCAAGCCGATTTCCTCTGGTCGAACGACGGCCACACGCCGGCCACCATTGAGACCGTATACATATACATCCAGAACCCTCCATAAAACTATATACTCTATACAGGATAAGGAAAGCCTGGAGATCATAAAATATATTATTGTATCCCAATGGGAACGTGCTTACCAATTTTTCTGCTGTAAATCATTACTCTCCAAAAAGACGCATTTTACTTTTTTTTTTTTTTCTCCATCTCCACCCAAGGCTGACATAAGTTTATCCCGCCAAAATAATCCAAGTGCTAAAACAAAAAAACGAAAAATAACAATTAAAGAGAATTATTTTTGTTAAATAAAGTAAATTTAAAAATGAATGCAAGTATAACAATTAGATATTATTATTTTATTTAAAAGGAGATTGTATCTCGACGTGATGATGATAAAAGAGGAGAGAAAATAAATAAAAAATAAAAAATAAGAAATAAGAAATAAGAAATAAGGAGCAAGGAATAAGGAATCTAATTTCGAAAGGTGAATGAGTCTGTGGCGGCTACCTCAAACGACGTGATCGCCGTCTGTCCCGCGGCGTTTCTCTCAATTTTTTAACGTTTTTTTACTCACTACTCTCTATCATGTAGGCTTTATATATATTTTTTATACTTCTCTCCTCAATGAAAGAAGGTATCCCAAGATCCAAGATCCGAGATCCGACAGCTAGCCAACAGTTTTTCCGCATACAACAATGCCCAAGTGACTCGCTCGCTGATGATCTTCATCATAATCATCATCATCATCATCATCATCATCATGCTACAACAGCCCACTAGCTGATTCATCACCACAAATAAAATTATAAAATAACATCAACAATCCTGTGGCAATACGAGGAGCTATCATCAATGTCGGCATATACTCCAAAAAATTTATTTATTATAATAATATATATTTTAAAAAATATATTAATGAGGCAGTGTTGTTATCAGGAGTATTAACATCAGCAGGGTGGTCTTGTTCAGTAGCAAATTGCGCAATTTTCGCGTCAGAAATTTCCGGTGGAAATTAATTTATCAGAGTAGCAGCAGGTTCCAGGTTATAACTTGTTGTTGGTACCTGATGCTTTTGATGTGTAGGATGTTGAGTAAAAAGGAGTAAACGCGAGAGTAAAAAAGTAACAATAAACGAAGATACCAAAATTACCAGCAGAATTATTTTTTGCTGACAAATTAAACCAGTACACCTCTTGTATCTCTTCTTTTGTATCTCTTTTGTATGCCCGTTCCGATGATAGAGGCCCAATTTTTACTTATTCGCACCTTCTCGCGTGATTTTATCTTGACCCGCCTTCATCAATCCTCACTTTCTCCCTCTTTGTTTTATTATTTTTAATTATATATACATTTATTTTTTATTCAATCAACTTGCAAACTCGATCCAAAATGGCCGCTACTGTCCACTACTACCGACTGGCTTTTTTATTTTTTTTTTTTTATTATATTATTATATATCTAATTACGTAACCTACTAATACATTTTATTAATAAAACTATATTATTTTTGTCAAATCACCTTTGTTACATCATTATTTATTCAATATAATTATGCAAGCTTGTGTCAAGATGGCTAAAACTTATTATTACATAAATCGA